CTCAGAGACGCATGATAGCTGAATGCTACCCAGTCATTATACTAACTGATATATCATTATACTGTGTTTGTCAGGTGGTTGACCCAGAAGGGAGTTCGTCAGAGGAAACTCAACGAGTGGCTGGGCCTGAAGAACGAAACAACCGAGGAGTAAGTTTGATCAATCAACTTGTTTTATCCAACACACAACTCTTCTTAAACTCTAGTTAAACACCATTTTTAGGAATTAGTTCATCTTTACCTCCTTGCCTTAACCAACAACAAGGCAAGGTGAGCATATTCGTAAAATCTGTGTTATGCGAGTAGAAATGTAATACCGTGTAATGCATAAGTCTTTAAATGAAAGCAAATGTGAAACTGCAATATTAGAGTCATTTAGGTCCAATTTATTAGAAAAACCATTAGAAATGATTTTGGAATCTTCATCCCGACAGCCCGATAAATCATCTCTTGATAATGTGTTAGCATCACATCCTTAGCTCGTTTCATGCCCTGCTAACCTATCCCCCCCCCTCCCTCAGTGAGTACAGCATGGTGGAGGATGAGGAGGACCTTCCTCACCATGACGAGCGTCTGTGGCGTCTCGGAAACATCAACCGCACCCAGGCCGAGTCTCTGCTGCGCGGGAAGAGAGACGGATCCTTCCTCGTCCGAGACAGCAGCAAGCCGGGCTGCTACGCCTGCTCTGTGGTGTAAGAGACCGTCTACTTACCTGCTTATTTACTTCTTTTTTTAAATGTTTATTTAATTGCTTAATAACAGTCTTTCTACTATCCGCATTCAATTTCTATTCAATTTATCAATTTAGGCAGTCTTTTTAACTGCCTAAATTATTATTTTTTTACCTATCTCTATTGACTTTGTTTACCTCTTTATTTACCTGTTTATTCACCTGCTAACCCAGTCCCACGTTTATTTATGCACCTGCTAACCCAGTCACTCACTTAATTATGCACCTGCTAACCCAGTCCCATGTTTATTTATGCACCTGCTAACCCAGTCACTCACTTATTTATGCACCTGCTAACCCAGTCACTCACTTAATTATGCACCTGCTAACCCAGTCACTCACTTATTTATGCACCTGCTAACCCAGTCACTCACTTAATTATGCACCTGCTAACCCAGTCACTCACTTAATTATGCACCTGCTAACCCAGTCCCACGTTTATTTATGCACCTGCTAACCCAGTCACTCACAGCTGTTTGTTTATGCACCTGTCAACACATACAGCTGTTTGTTTATGCACCTGTCAACACATACAGCTGTTTGTTTATGCACCTGTCAACACATACAGCTGTTTGTTTATGCACCTGTCAACACATACAGCTGTTTGTTTATATGTTATCTGATCTGTTAGACACGGTTCTTTTGATGTGACTAATGCCAAACCCAACCTAAAATCTGTTTCTACGTAATGAAGTGTTTTGAAGTTGGATTGAACAAACACACATCTTCAACTAACTTAATCTCTGTGTCCCTCAGGACGGAGGGCGAGGTGAAGCACTGCGTCATCAACAAGACGGGCACCGGCTTTGGTTTCGCTGAGCCCTACAACCTGTACGGCTCCCTGAAGGAGCTGGTGCTGCACTACCAGCACACCTCGCTGGTGCAGCACAACGACTCGCTCAACGTCACGCTGGCCTTCCCCGTCTACAGCCAGCAGAGACGGTGACCGGCCTGCGGGACTCTTCATCCACACGTCACCGTAGCTGCAGAACCAGAACCTGACCACATGACGCGTTTACCGCTTGGCACAACAGCGTCCTGGTGCTGCAGACCTCAGTGGGCCAATGAACGTGTACAATCCAGTACACTGAAGATGAAGCTTTGTGTGAAGTGAAATGCTTTGTTACATCCTGTAGGAATGGTGAACAATTTAAAATGAATATTTTACTGTGAAAGTCATCAATGAGAGCTTTAACTTCCTGAGGAAAAAGACTTCAAGACGCCAGGTATCTCCCTTAAATTAACAAAAATGTTTTAATTACTTTAATGATTCGGTGCCGGAGATCAACATTAAATGCAATTTACCTTCATCAGAGATGACAGACTGGAGGTCGGATCCCATGGGATATCAGATGAGGGGCGTTCGAGTAAAAGACAGACGTTCATCAATGCTCTCTGTCATTCCAAATCTAAAGAAATGTTGTTTAATGAATGAAAATGATACAATTGAATGAAGTTGTTCTTAGGAATCGCTTTAAACTGGCTATAGACAACTTTTCTGCTCTTAGACTTTTCAAGTGGTATTATAGTTTCATAAGACCGTTTTGACCTAGAAACGCAGATGTTGGTGCTATTAGAATGGTGCTCAAAAGAATGCCCTTAGTAATAATCAGGAGGCAGTTTTGTTTCACACTTATCTAGTAAAATGCAAACTTAAACATCTGAAGAGTGGGAGCTCTCTCCATCTTCTTAGATTCGTTTTATATCCCTCTTTGCCGCCCTCGTCATCGAGGCTTTATTATATCCTAAAGTTTCTTAAGATGTAACAACGTCCACCACTTGTGCTACCTTGGGGACTTTACTTTTGAAACTTGGGAACGCCACAGGAGAATCAAAATTGCGATCTTCTTCCTGTTTTTGTTACTCAAAGATTGATTCCCTTATTTTTGCCGTATATGGATCCTTGAATTTCCCGGTGGCAGCCAGAGTTACAAAGTGAAAGCGAGGCTTATCTGGAAACAATCCAAAAGCAGATGGTTGTTATTCTATATTAAATATTTTGCGCAATCATCGTTTCCTGCATAATGAACGTTAACGTGGGAAAAACAATTGTCTGTTGCTACTTTAATGCAACCTGAGCTCAAGGTAAAACGAAACAAACACCTGAGAGGCGAGATGGAAGAGGACCGTTCAGGTTAACCTACCTAAAGAACTCTTCAGTCTTATCGGAGACACCCTGTGTGATCATGACCTCAGTGAAAGTCGATTCAACATGTCACCGTTTCCTGTCTGAGGAGAGAAGATGAACTGAAGAGCCAAACGTGCCCTTGTTTTGTCAGAGATGAACCGGACTAAAGCTGAACTGACCAACTCCTCCTCTACTGGCCCTGCACGCTTCAACAGAACAGAACCAAAACTATGGACTGATGGTGTCAAAGACAAAAATGGCGGACAATCGAGAGACGTTTCTTGCGTAAACACTGTGAGTGGCTCTGGACAAGGTTTAACATGAGGGCAAATCAGGAGAAAATAAACAGGAAACCTGCATCATCCAAAGACTCAACCCCCCCCCCCCCCCCCCCCCCCCCCCCCAAAATAATCCCATCAGTGTTTTTCTAGCTCTCGTTTCTTCCGGTTTCTTCAGGTGAGTTGGTTTGCCACCTAAGTGTTTAAGTTTGCTGACCGGACGGATTATCCTTCAATTTTTTCATTTCAATAAATGTCCGTCAGCACAATGGTTTACTCGTGCTGGATAAAAACTGTGATTTAAATTCAGGAATGACAGAACTGGATCTCTGGATCTTCTCAAAGGATTTTCATCTTAAGTTTCAAGGACTAAAGCGCAGCCTGTAGACATTACTGATCGCAGATATCTGATCCTCATGGTTCCTCTTATGGATTTTATGTTTTCTTCTTTGTGCATTTGGACACACGGCTTCCTTTAAACCAGGTACAGGAGATGAAACTCTCCAAGGATTTTGAAGAAGCCCAAAGTATTACATCATTTTCCCACAACTTGCATCTGTTTTATGGAAATCAATACATGGTTTCAAATTAGTTTGGAACTGTCCAGAACTTTTCAAGCTCTTATTTGACTTATTCCACAGAAGTCCTGTTTTTTCATTCTGACATTGAAACCAAACTAGTGAACGCAAACAAGAATCTGTAATATGAGACGATAAGAAGTCGTGAAAAGTTAATTGTTTAAGAATTCTGACGAATAAAATTATTGGTCTGAATGTTTGAAGGCTACTGGAGAAACTTTGTCTCTGCTTTGTTTGAAACAAATCTGTAGATAAAAATAGTATTAATCAGTGTGTGTTTGACCTTTTTCTATTTCCGATTTTGTGCTCCAACAATCACATTCAAGTCCCAGAAACACGGCTCAGATTTGGTCCAAATCATTTTAATATCCCGAGACTCCCAGCAGAGGACAGTATTATCCATAGAAAATAGGACTTATGTAGATAGAACTCCATTAAATGCACATCAAGTATTCCACTTTTCTTTAAATGTGTATAGGTGTTAACTATTTTCTATGCTATATTATGTTGTTTACTATCTTCAAAGTAAGGCCACATTCATTAATTGAAAAAAACATGACTTCCCTTAAAGGTGGGGTAGGTAATTTTGGAGAAACCAGCTCGAGTTCGCTAGAATTTGAAAATACACAGCCGGAACAAATCTGCCACTTCCTTATAGAGCCCCTCCTCCAACACACACGAACGCACACATGACCAATGAGGGCACGAGATAAGTTTGTGCAGAGATGGAAGGCTGACAGGCAGGTAGGCCATCCAGTTATTTTAGCCGGGCCGGCTCAAATGATTGGTCGTGCTTTTTACAGTACTACGGCTTCCACAGATGATATTTTTTTATGTATTTATTGTCAAAGCATTTAATAAATTCATTGCTATCGGGATGTTAAGAGCATTCCATGGAATATAACAAAAAGTGTTTCTGAAATAAATTACATACCCCACCTTTAAATATATCCATTAAAATGTGAATTGACTTAAAGGTAGGGTAGGTAATTCACTTCAGAAACACTTTTTATTATATTCCATGGAATGCTCTTAACATCCCGATAGCAATGAATAAATGAAATGCTTTGACAATAAATATATACAAATATTTCATCTGTGGAAGCCGTAGCGCTGTAAAAAGCACGACCAATTATCTGCCTATGATGGCATACCTGCCTGTCAGCCTTCCATCTCGTGGCTTCATTGGTCATGTGTGTGTTGGAGGGCTCTGTAAGGAAGTCTGAAGGAAGGGGCAGATTTTCTTTGGTTGCGTACTTTCAAATTCTAGCGCACTTGAGCTGGTTTCTCCATTCTTACCTAACCTACCTTTAAGCAAGTTTTAACTTTGAATGTGGCCTTACTTTGAAGATTCACATTTCCTGTCATATAAAACCATGTGTTATCTCAGTAAAACATTTCCAAAGAAATCTTACATGAAAACTTTCTCTAGATCTTTCTGTAAATTACACAAAGATGACATTTGTTACCAATTCAAAATTCCATTACAGAGCAACAAACAATGCGACAAATGTTAGATTAAGGAAATGACAGTTTGAAAATAGTCCTCTAGCTAACTTGAATCTCAATAAAGCTAATGGAAACGAGCCCTTCAGTTAACATGCAATGTATTATATAAGTATTAAACAGCTGTTGCAGACAAAAGGAGGTATGTTTTTATCAGAACGGTGGCACAATGTGATCATAGCATTGATCAGGCGAATGTGATCAGGTATTCTGGGTACGCCTGGATGTCATTGAAGACTACAAAGATGGTTGGATTGGCGCTGTTATTTGCCACACTGTCGTACAGGTCTGTAGCATTGCTGGAGCTCTTGGTGGGGGGGGGTGATCATGCCGGCTCTTCCCGTGGTGAAGTCTCCCACCAGGACCTTGGCCAGGTACATGCGCTTGTGCTGCTTGGTGTCAGGTTTAGCGTAGCCCTGTGAGTACGATGCGTTCACAGCAAAGTAGGAACCATTGCCGTACAACGCACCTACAGAACAACACAGAGAAGAAACTTGATTTCTATCTAAAGGTGTTGTGATAATAAAGATGTCAATGGGCACTCCACTATGCCACGGTCAACGGTCTGTTAATGTAGGAAAAGCTCTATGTAAATGTAGTCCACCTTGACCTCCTGTCTTCTATGACACTTGAATGCACTGTGTAGTTGACTAAGAGAAGAGTATTTTAAGAATGTATTGACTTTTGGTTTAGCCGTTGCATTAACACAGTGAAATGGCTGTAGCTGAAAGTAACATGGAATATGTGGGCAGGTTTATCACGTCGTTTTGGGAATTGCTCCATTAAAAAATAAGGTAGGACTTAAGCTGCATTCACATGATTGGCGTTTAGCTCTTTGCTCACTGCTAGCTTGCGGCACGACATGCAGCTGTCAGCTAAAGGCACATATCGTATGAATGTAGCTTTAGCTAGCATGGAGGGTCAGGAGGAATATCTTTAAAGGGGACCTATCATGTAAAATGCACTTTTTGATGTCTTTTATACATAAATGTGTCCCCGGTGTGTCAGGGAACTCACGCAGCGTCAGAAAATAAAACCCTCTCTTTTTTCCTCCGTACCCAAATCTCTAAAAACTGGGCTACAACAGAGCTGATCCAGATTTGCGTCCGATATGACGTAATATCGGAAATGTAGGCTGGCTTTACACCCACGGCCCTATCAGAAACGTTGCTATCAGAAACAATGCCCGACGGTTTTGGACGTAATATGGTCGGTGCATGTTTACATTAGCATCGCTAACACTCAGAGCTAACCTGTACTGCACAGAGCATGTGTGTGAAGAACCAGGAAATAAAAAGGAACTCATCTTGTGGTATAACCGGCAAGAGAGAAAGCCTTTGAGCTCCATACTGTTTCAGAAATAATCCTTGATAATCCATGATATGGCGTTTCATCACTGCAGTATCTGCCGGTAGAATCTCCCGCATGAGCTCAGCCCCCTCCTTTTTTTTTGTTATCACATTTTTTTTTTTTAAAGCTTTATACCCCAAATCAGCACTTTTGAAACAGGAAGTGAAATAGAGGGATATGAGGCATGGCTAGAATGGGTGATCTGTTTGGTATTTTTGGCAAAACACTTCATAGACATGTTTCTTATATTTTTTTATATATCTGAGACCTATGCTATTGCCTAAAAATAGCATGATAGGTCCACTTTAAGTAAAACTATTAATGATGGGAACTGAGAGGATTTTTCAGACTTTTTAATTAATTACTTATTTTTTGGACATTAGATATTTGAAACTCTTGGAGCTGAATAAGACTTTTGAAAAGGAACATTTTAAATACTTTACTTTAGTATTTCCCTTTACTCGATATTAAGCTATAGTTTCTTATGAAAAAAACATATGATGACTTCCCTTAAAGGTGGGGTAGGTAATTTTGGAGAAACCAGCTCGAGTTCGCTAGAATTTGTAAATACACAGCCGGAACAAATCTGCCACTTCCTTACAGAGCCCCTCCTCCAACACACAAGAACGCGCACATGACCAATGAGGGCACGAGATAAGTTTGTGCACAGATGGAAGGCTGACAGGCAGGTAGGCCATCCAGTTATTTTACCCGGGCCGGCTAAAATGATTGGTCGTACTTTTTACAGTACTACGGCTTCCACAGATGACATTTTTTTATGTATTTTTTGTCAAAGCACTTAAGATATTCATTGCTATCGGGATGTTAAGAGCATTCCATGGAATATAACAAAAAGTGTATCTCGAGCCGGTTTCTCAAACTTACCTACCCCACCTTTAAAGTGGACCTATCATGCTATATTTGAATAATATATTGTAGGGCCATACCTATATAAAACATGTCTGTGAAGTTTTTTTTTCAAAATACCAAACAGATCATGCATTTTAGCCATGCCTCATTTCGCTCTATTTGCTCTTTCCAGCCCTGTTTTTGCAAGGGCTGATTCTGTGAGAAGTCTTCTTCGCTGCTTTTGTGGCAGACTACAGCGCCACTTACAGGCCTGGCATATGTACTACAGCGTCTCCAGCGCTTTCGAGCGGCAATGGCAATGGCCGTGGCCCAACCCCCCATTCCCCTGATAGGTGGAGAGTTGCCCATATAGGCGGAGCTCCCCGTTTCTGACGTCAGAACAATTTCAAATCTGTATCAGCTCCGTTGCAGCCCCGTTTTTAGAGATTTGGGTATGGGGGAAAAGAGAGAGGGTTGTGTTTTCTGACACACCGGGGACACATATTCATGTATAAAAGACGTACAAAAGTGCATTTTGCATGATAGGTCCCCTTTAAATAAAACCCTTTATTAAAGTTGTGACCTCTTAATAAAGCGTGTCTAGTTGAGGCGACATTACAAGCTTTAACAGTTCCACCAAAGTTTGATCTCTCTTCAGACGGTCTCATTAAAATAACTTGAGTTTGAGGTTGAGGCCCAAAGAGCTAAACGTATAAATATTAGAGTAGCACATGCACAACATTTACTTGTATCTCTAAATGTTGTTGTATATTTTTGCTAAAATCATCACGTATCATAAACGTGCAACGATTAGTCGACTAATCGCCTGAATTGAAGACTATTGGTGGACTAGAAAAATCTTTAGTCGAGGGCAGCTCTACTTCCTCCACTGGGGCTAGCCAAAAAGTGGGCAACCCGTGGTTTAGTGTTTAACAATATACTCTAATTTGGAGCTGTAACTAATGTTTTATATGACATCTGTCACATACAGCTGTCGAATATAAACAGAGGATTAAGTAATACTACAGTACTTGACATACAGTATTTAAAGAAGTGTTGTCTTTCAGCCAAAGGTCGAACTGAATATTTAGATCTTCCCTCCCATGCAGTATTTTATTTTCCCTTGTGAATGTGCAGAAAGTGTTCTAATGACTCTTTGGTTACCATGTGTTCCGGCGTAGCTGCGGTTGAAGCCTCGTTTGTTGATGAAATCGATGGAGTCGGCTCCAGTGCCGTGGAAGAGCTTCATCTCGTTGTTGTTGTGTTTGTTCTTCACATCCAGCTGTTTCTTGAACAGCTGGTAGCTCTTCCACAGTGTCGTGTTCTGGACTCGTTCAATCTGACAAAGCCAGTAAGAGACAGAGAGCGCTGAGTTACAACTTTAACATATTAAAGAATGTTTTGTATCAGTACATTTAGCAGGGATTTAGCATTTCAAATATTTCTATTAAAACATTTAAACACTTTTAGTCAATGAAAATATCCTAATTGGATTTAGTCTAATTTAGTAAATATTGTGACATATTTAGAGGGCAATAATCATCACAGTATTATCTCATAATTATTATTATTACAATGAAGTAAGACTGTCTTTAATAATAATAATAATAATATTAATAATAATTTATAATCATTACATTATATGTTAAAATAAGAATGAATGTATTATTATTATTATTATATGTTAAAATAAAAAAATAAAATATTGTCCAGCTCTTGTCTTAATATTCAGTGTGTTATTGTCCAAAATGCAAAGGCCATTCAAAGTAGCCATTGATTTGTTTTGGCAAGACAATTTAATTGTGGGATAATATAAAAATTAAATTCAGGGTTAAACGACTAATACATCTGCAGTGAGTAAAGATACAGTCTCAAGGTGTCGCTGCATATTTATGAAGATCAGATATTGAACATACGCTGATGATGTTGGGCGTGAAGCCGGTGTTTCTTAGCTCTGTCTCCACGTCGGTGTATTCCTGGGATCCCGCAGCGACAGGAAACCGTTTGAGATCACCTTTCATGTCCTCCCAATGTGAGGGCAGCGCCACATCATCAGCTGAAAAAAATAAACTGGGTTAGCTTTAGAGAATGATACACTTTTGTAAAACCTTCATCTTATTTCAAAGGTCACTATGTATGCAAAATTAAAACTGTTGTTCAAAATAGAGAAAAGCTGGGCTTGCCGCGGAGCCCGAAAAGGCAACGTGGGCAACACCTCCGCTTCTCCGTCCCGCGGGCCCATCACCTACGGGAAACAGCGATGGGGTCGGGTGCGCTGCCAGAAGGGTGGCAGTGAAAGCAGAGGGTCTCGACGGACCAGACACGGACGGCAGAAGCTGGCTTTGGGGACGTGCTGTTGCTGTTATGTTGTGTAGCCTGGAGGACCTGGTAGTCTAGTTTTTGTGGCTTTATTTTTCCCGTAGCGTATTGTTAGATTTCTGGTTAGGGGAGGGAAGCTCTGGGTCTTACGGCCCGTGGTGTGGCTGGCTCGGGCCCCCTCCTTCTTTTTGTTTCTTTTGGCCAGTCCTCCAGACCTCGTTCATTTGCCGCTTGGCTTGTGTGAGTAACAGCTGTACATTTAATAAATGATCGCTGTTAAGTACTGGTTGTTTTGTGTGTTTTCTTTTATGTTGCGGGTCTCCCCACGAGCCACTACCACGGAGTAGGGGGTGGGCCGTAACACTCGGGTAAACAGAGGGGCGGAGTTGTCAACTGATTACCATCTGGGTGAACTGGGAATGTCAGGAGGAGTCCCAAGTCCAGGATGCCAACTCACACCGCCGGCGGATCTTTTCAGGCATCCCTGTGGAGGAGGGGGACATTGAACCAGAGTTGGCGGTGTTCAAAGCCTCTATTGCCGAAGCCGCGGCGGGGAGCTGTGGTCTCAAGGTCTTAGATGCCTCAAGGGGCGGTAACCCCTCGAACCTCCTGGTGGACACTGGTGGTCAGGGAAGCTGTCGACTGAAGAAGGAGGCCTTCCGGGATATGTTATACTGGGGGAGTTCCGAGGCAGTTGCAAGGTACAGACAGGCCCGAAGGACAGCAGCCTCAGCCGTGGCCGAGGCCAAGGAAAAGCAGCCGGTGTGGGAGAAGTTCGAAAAAGCCATGGAGAAGGACTTTCGGTCGGCACCAAAGTTGTTCTGGAAAACTGTCCGACACCTCAGGAGGGGGAAGCAGGGAACCATCCAAGCTGTGTACAGTAAGGATGGGATGCTGTTGACCAGTGGCGTCGCCTGGCCTGGGCATCCGGGGCTTTAGCCCCGAATGTTTTTTCTGTAGCCCCGGACAATTCTCCCTCAATAATATAATACATTAACCGTGCTTTACGTACGTGAACCTCATCATGACACAAGAGAGGACGGCAGCACTGTAATTTCCCGTGTTCAGTGAATGCAACAGAGGCATGACACCAGACCAATCAGAGAGTTGCATGGAAATAAATGTGTGCTTGTGTCATTCAAGCTCGGCTCTGTGTGTGTGTGGCAATAGCGCATTTAGTGTGATAGAGAGAGAGAGAGGGAGAGAGGGAGAGAGGGGGAGAGGGGGAGGGAGGGACCGTGCCAGCATGGACCGTGTTGTTAGCATCTGGTTAGCTAGCTGCACTAACGGACATAAGGAGCTGTTTGTTCCACAAGAAGCTGGAGGAGAGTCCTCTCCTCTCAGACTGAGAGACTCAGGTGAGCTAAAGGACTCTCTGAGTGTTTAGATACTTAACTTTAGTCTAAGTTATCTCAGTGGGTCTCAAACGGTTTGGTCACAAATTATTCAAAAGATTATTTCCGCGGCACACCTTCATATGATCATTATAGTTATTAAAAAAAAGAGAATAAAGGAAAAACAGTTATGAAATACTATATGGCAGTAAAACAAGAATAGAGTTTAAAAGGGGAGTGATTAGTAAAATATCCATAAAGAAAAAGTACATCTGTTTACAGTTCTGCTTCATATGGGTGTTGAGAGAGGTATCCATAGATCTCTTCATTTTGCTCTCAAAGTGCACCAGATTGATGCATTTAACTTCAATATTTAAAAATAAATCTTCCCGGGGGAGCATCCCCCCGGACCCCCCCTTGAGGAGGTGAGGACCCCACTCATAAAAAATACCACTTTACCCCTGCCTATATGCCGTGAGCTGATTATCGAGCCTTCATTGTAACAGTCGCGGGTGTACTGTGTGTGTGCGTGTGGGGAGTGTTGTAGTAAAAAATGCCACTCTAGTGCCGCCGCCACTGTGGGCTAAGCCCCGAATGTTTTCAGGTCCAGGCGACGCCCCTGCTGTTGACCTCAACTGATAGGGTGTTAGGGCTGTGGAAGGAACACTTTGAGGAACTCCTGAACCCGAAAACTCCACCGTCTATGGTAGAGGCAGAGCTGGAGTATGACGGGGGATCAACACCAATCTCCCGGGGGGAGGTCACTGAGGTAGTCAAACGACTCCACAGTGGCAAAAACCTGGGGCTGGATGAGATCCGCCCAGAAATGCTGAAGGCTCTGGGTGTTGAGGGACTGTCACGTCTCATCAATATTGCGTAGAAGCCGGAAACAGTACAGAAGGAGTGGCAGACTGGGGTGGTGGTTCCCCTTATAGAGGCATCACACTACTCAGCCTTCCCGGGAAAGTTTACTCTAAGGTACTGGAAAGGAGGGTCCGGCCGATTGTCGAACCTCAGATTGAGGAGGAACAATGTGGATTCCGTCCTGGTCATGGAACAATGGATCAGCTTTTTACCCTTGCAAGGATCCTGGAGGGGTCCTGGGAGTACGCTTATCCGGTCTACATGTGTTTTGTAGATTTGGAGAAGGCGTATGACCGGGTTCCCAGGGAGATACTGTGGGAGGTGCTGCGGGAGTATGGGGTGAGGGGGTCTTTACTCAGGGCCATCCAATCTCTGTACTCCCAAAGCGAGAGCTGTGTCCGGGTCCTCGGCAGTAAGTCGGATCCATTTCCGGTGAGGGTTGGCCTCCGCCAGGGCTGCGCTTTGTCACCAATCCTGTTTGTGATATTCATGGGCGGGATTTCAAGGCTTAGTCGTGGGGGAGGGGGTCTGCAGTTCGATGGGCTAAGGATTGCACAGCACTACTGCTTTTTGCAGATGATGTGGTTCTAATGGCTTCATCAGTCTGCAACCCTTATCACCCACACACAGATGGTTAACCGTTTAAGGGACAGAAATGTATGATTCATAAGAAATCTAAAATATTATCATCATCAGAAGTGTGTGGGAGAGAAACTCCCTCTGGAGGGAATACAGGTATGTTAGCCTTTGCAGACCATTTACATGCACAGAAACCTATAGAACACACTACAGGAAAGGGAACCCACTTTAAAAGGGACTATTTCCTTTCTATTGTATCACTGCTTCTAATTATGGAAGCTTGTGACATCGCAAGATGTACATTTTATGTATCAACTTGTCCAGGAGTAGATGCAGCTATCCGTTATAATGACTCATTACATTATAACATATTACAACACAGTGATAACAACTTTTGCAGCAGGAAGTTTGCTGGCAATTGTTCAGATTACATGTGATTGTGCACCACTGCGCAACATTAATGAGCACTAAAACAGATCACTTACCTTTCAACTCTTTCCTAAGTAGCTCCAGCTGTTTATTCCCCTTCACTGACACTGCATTTAGCATCATGACATCAGCATGGTATTTCTCGTTGTTGATCTTGATCGTCACCCCCGGCTGCTTTTTCTCCCGAGCCTCCTCCAGGGTGAGGTTGGTGTCATCGTCGAAGGGCACCATTATCCCTCCGAAGTCAAACTGCCACTCCACGTGTCCTCTGATCATCAACGCCTTGCTCATCCTGTTCTCCGACCTCTCCACCTTGCGGATGATGTCCCTGACGGTCAGAAAAAAACATATTTAAAAAAACTAGAACTGCAAAAATCACATTATTATCCCATTACCCCTAAAACCGGAGCAACATCGTCAGCAGCCACAAGTGTAATTCCAAGTACAGTTAATAGTTAATATACTCTATTTCAGGGGTTTTCAAAGTGTGGGAAGGTGAGCCTCCCCTCAGAGAACATATGAACAGCTGCGCCCCCCCTCCCAATTATTATTGCTATTATTATTATTATTATTATTATTATTGTTGTTATTACATTGCATTTCAAAGAGGTCCAGTAAGAGAACATGTCATTAAATGCTCTGTTTTCGCTGTCTACCTTCCGCCATTTGAAATTATTCCGACTGTTTCTCTCCTCTTGTCTCGTCTCTGTGAGTGTTTGAATCTATTGTGCTGACTCACTGACTGCACCGATTTGATTGGCTGAGTAGCGTCACCTCCTTAAAACATTAAACAATCACTTTTTAAAACCTTTTTATCTTTATGTTTTAAACATATTTTATAAAACTCCTCCACTACTTGGACTATTCCTTGCACCCCTCTAGAATAAGCCCGAATGGTCTCAACCATATTGCATCAGTAATAACGTGCACTTGTTGACTTGTTATAACAAGATCGCAAGGACACTGGTAGCGATCGTACAATTGAGTGTTGTTCAGTTTGTGTGTTGTGGAACATGCGTGTCCGTGCATGAAAATATACCACACACCCAATTACAATAGCATGTTCAATTCACTACCCTGGAAGTTAATAAAGTTGTTAAAGTTGGAACAGCCTGTGGACAGCCGTTCTTCCTTGCAGGTCAGTCGCCGACACCTTCTTACAGAGGACAGGAACATCTAGCTGCAGCACGACCCGTATATTTTCGCACGCCGTGTTCTCAACACATATCTTTTAAACATTTTTAACATTTTCAACATCGTGGATACATCCTTATATGCTCCCGGCAACACACTGAACGTCAACTTTATCTCCTTATTACACTCACCCCTACTTTAGTGGGAACAATGAGTCTGCGTCTTTGATGCACACAGGAATAAACGCAGATCATCCTCTGGCTGCAGCCTTGACCGGCACTTCCTTTGATCAGAGTCAATGCGGAAAACCCGCACTCACACAGGTAGGTGGAGGTGAAGGGAGTGAGCACTTTAACAGCCTTTTTGGCGAGGTGGGGGAACTCGGTCTCCACAGACAGGCAAAAGTGTGCAAATGTCACTTTACTCGTCTTTTTCTCGTTATTATTTTTTCTCACGCTGCGCCTCCCCTGAAGCTCTCTGGCGCCCCCCAGGGGAGGCGCGCCTCACACTTTGAAAACCGCTGCTCTATTTGTTTAAGTAATAAGTAAGACTTAACAAAACAACAATTTTAATTGGGTTTAATTATTTCAAAATTGCTTCAGTTTAAGATCAAGAAGTTGATAAGGCCTACTTTTTACAATGACTAAACTGTGGCTTTCTACAAAGACATTTAAATATTCGACTTATTGTAGGTTAAGACCATTAAGTAAAAGTTTAAACTAGTTTTGGAAAGAAAGAGATATAGTGCTCTTCCTCTCAGACAGTTCTGCCGGTGCCAGTCTCATGCAGCTAGCCAGATCCAGTAATGATTGACCCGACACTAGAGAATATGATTATTTATAACTAGTCGAGCTACTGCAAGAGGAGGATAAGATGGCTAATTGTGATAGGTCTAACTAGAAGCATGCGTTTTGCTCGGCTCACTGGTCCCGTCGTGCATGAACATGGCCTAGCTCATGATATGAAAGCCTGTTTATCAAAAGACACCTGAACAATAGGCATTGCTAGGCTTGGTTAAATGCAGTGTTCTGATTGGTCAAGTTGGAGTCTTTTTTTCGCTGGCAGACCGCTGCTAAGGAGACCTTTACTGACCCGGAGGCCGTTCTGATCAAGGGACTATATGCAGTCCTATGAAAAGCTGTGGACAACAAACACATTAGTTTTCATCCATCACAACACCATGGAATACTTTTTGAATAATTCATTTTTATATTTTTTGAGAGCACAAAACTTTGGATTCATGATAGTTAAACTGTCCCCAAAGAAGAAAGAAAAAAGAGAAGAACAAGTTAACAATAAAAGTGTTGGGATCCTGATCACCCTGTCTGTGCTCTTTTCCCATTAATTATACAGCTGTTTCTATTAGGTGTAAAAATAACCCCACGGCGTTTCTAGGTATACATAGTCCTATTTAATTTAGTGGGAATGCTGATACAGCATTCCAACTATATGTTATTCTACGGACAATATTTGTATTATTCCGCCGGAATTTTGCACCTCTTCTCCTCCTGCATTGAACATCGCAGAAACTCCGTTCAAACATCAAAACGTTCAGCTCGGTCGGGAATCGATGGCTATTACTTTTCTCATTCATAACTTTCATAATTCCAGAGATACATCCCATAATACATCACATTTTTAACATGGAAGTCAATGGAGAAATTCTTCAGACTTCAACAAATCTTCATGCGACTTCAACTGCTAACTGTTCATTCATACTTTCACTCAGAAACCTCATTCCAACTTTAAAATGTTACACATCTTTCTGACATTAGTGTAACACAACATTTAAATCTGATTCTTACTTTTAGAGATATTAAACATTGTTCAGACCTTGGTAAAGAGGTTTTCTTCAGATTTTAACATTAACTAGAGTGCGTGATGTCACAGCTAGAGGGTAGAAAATCTTGAAATTTGCCTTCATATTTTTTTTTAAAACTGTCATAATTCCCAAACCTTACATTCCTGAGACATAATTTTTCATGACAAACGTAGGAAAACATCTCGTAGCTTGAAAAATGATTAAACAAAATGCCTCTTGAGGGCATGAAGTGACAAAAACTTTCAACATGTCTCCATTAAAACCCATTGTAATTTCAGGCTGATATTTCCTCACAGTAGCAGCCGCACACCTTTAGTTAAACTGCCAAAAAGGCCACATTATTAACCCGAAAGTACATAAAAATTACACTTCAGATACTCAACTTCCTTGACATGCTTCACGTTTTGAAATTTCACAGATATCTGTTATCGTTCTTCCACAAAACGTTCACATGTAAGAGGTTTATCTCTCATTCAGAACAATGCAAACCTCTGATCTCTACAGAGCTCAAATCTCACCATATGCCGTTTCCATGGAAACGCATCCCTCGCCATAAAACACGATGTCCCTTTAACTCCTATGAAAATGTTCAAAAAGTGCTCAAAATTCACATGTGTGCTAACAGTCCAGCCGTGAAGACATCTACGAGACAGTTTTGAGATTTCTTCAAATGCCGTTGCCATGGCAACACAATGCTCGCCATGAAACACAGTTTTCTCATAACTTCAGTGAAAATGCTTCAAACGGCCCAAAACTTTACAGGTTTGGTAACGATGCAGCCATCAACGCATCTAAGCGTATTCTGGGGGTGTCCTCAAATGCCGTTGCCATGGCGACAGATCGTTCACCATCAAGTTAGTTCAAAAGTTTGCAGTTCAAATATTCTGCTGCTTTTACAATCCTTTTTACTTTCTTTTCTTCTCTCATCACACATTCAAGTCCCCAGTGTTCATGTATCATTTCAATCTAAATTCTTCACTTTCTTCTTACACATTACATTTCAGCATAAAGCATTCCCACTAGCAATTTCTTCAGGAATTGCATTCTCTAGTTTGTTCTACTACCTCCCAAAATCACTGGATGATAAATAAACCCATTTTGAGAAATGCTCGTTTTAAATCATTAAGCTTATATTTGGTAGATCGAACTGTAGCTTTATTGATTGTTTTCTCCTCCATAACTGGATCTGCTGACCTGATGGCGGACTCGGCGGTGTACACGTCTCTGGTCAGCCCCTCCAGGTGGATGTGGGGCTCCTGGTCCTCCTGCCCTCGTTCCAGGCGGATGCTAACGGTCAGTTTCCTCTGCAGGGCCTTCAGCTGGTCCATGTCTTCCTGCGACAGCTGACTGATGTACTGGTCTGTGATGGTGTTCTGCGCCTGCTCCGCCACAATCAGCTCTTCGATCCTCTTCTTAGCCTGTTTCACAGCCTGCCGTGGCGGGTAAGAGATGTGGAATTAAAAACAAATATGGCTACATGCAAGAACGTTTTCATACCGTTATCCTATCTGTCTCTGACAGGTTTTTATGTATGAGTAAAGGCCTTCCCTCCACCATCAAGTGGTCCTTTCAAAGCAAAGAGCTGAATAAGTGAATCATTTCATATTCACCATGTCGTTGTCGGCACACAGCTGAAACACGGTCGGTTCAAACTCCTCACTCTCCAGAACCAGATGATCAGCGCTGGGTTGCTGATCCAAAAGTCCCATAAAAAACGAAGTTGCTTTGTCTGAAAAACATCAAACTAGAATTACTACCTCTCCTTCATTCTTCCGCCAACAAATTCGATTTCAGTTTGCATCCATGTATTTTCAAAATGTAGTCATCCCATCATTTTATCCTATTAGACAGTTGTTTGAGATTGTCATAGTTAGTTTAGGAATTCTTTAGTTATGGCCAAAACGTTTTTTTGTTTCAGCAACCTTCATCTGGATCTTTCGTTCTGATCAGTTCATCGTTGAGTCTTAAAATGTGTTCCAGGCTTTCTGAGATATTGCATTCAAAAGAAAGTAAAGGATGTATATTTAAATCCTACATACACAAATACTAACCAGAGGATGCAAAAGTAGATTAATCCGCCACTGAAAGTAGTCCCCAACATGCAGTGGCAGCTCCAGAGTATTTTTGTTGGGTAATCTATGGTAGGGCTAACCCATACAGTGGTGGGGCTCAAGTCAGTATTTGCAATGTAATTACATACACGCTATATCGCCCCCCTTGACAGTGAAACGCCACGCGTGAGGTTTAGATTATTTCCCTGTCTCAATCCAAATTGAACTGTATGAAATAAAAAGGCACATTTGTCTTGTAGTAAATAAAAAGGGCGACCTGGAGCCAATCCTGCAATTTCCCCACAGGTGGAAGAGTTGACATGCTGAAAACCCAACCCCTGCAGGGGGGTCTGGGGGGATTCTCCCACAGAAGATTTTTTGAAATACTAACATAAAATACACATTCTGGTACTCTCTTGCGAAGAAAAATAAATAAATCTATTACTACACATTTAAAATGAATGCCATTTGTTTTTTGTTACTTTGTTCTGAAAGCTGAACCTGCTGCTCCTCACAGAGAGAAGAGGGAAGAGGCTGTGTGGATAAGGGTGGATAGCCCCAATTGTTCTGTGTGTCAAAATGAAAGACAGCCCACACACCTATCAATCATCAAACCGTGGGGTCTTATTTCATTACGTGTTGATTTCTATCAACACGTAATGTTGTATCGATGTATATAGAGATGTACTACCGCAAAAGTATTCTCCGTCGAGACTTCCTGCAACAACACCACGTCGTTATCGTGATTCTGATTGGCCAGAAGACATTATCAAAGATGTTTTATTGAGAAGACGATCACTACGTGACAAAAGTTTTCAAAACCGTTTCTAGTCTTCGGTATTTCCAGACAAGTGGCTACTGAAATCAATCTTACTAACTGTTGTCTGTGCAATTTACTCCGCGCGAGTTGGCGGACTTTATTTTGCTTACTTTAACATCATTTTTCATGGTGGGGCTAAGGTGGGGCTAAGCCATTTCTTGGTATGGCTGTAGCCTACCCCAGCCATACCCTGGCGCCGCCACTGCCAACATGTGTGCTTAAAATAACAAAATAACCAATGGACTTGGAGCTGAGCGTCACAGACAGGAAGTCAGACAATATTGAAAGACAGACTAACATTTTGTTTTGATCTAAACATGAGGCAGACAATAAAAGATAACATAAAAAATACTGAACAATGTAGATCACAAGAAACAAATCTCACTTCCAGAGCAGTGTAGTGAATACCTTTGAACTTTGTGAAGGTGCTCTTCTCCTTCACCTCCTGCCCCTCTCTCTTCTTCATGCTCTTGTGAAACAGTGACATCATGGCCGTCTGAAAGATCAGGATCTTCACGCTGTGGACAAACCTCGTCTGCTTCTTCCTCACAAAGTCCACCACCGCGTCCACCATGGCGTCCGCCACGTCCGACGGACTGACCCCTCCCTGACCTAACGGGCAGATACGCTAATGATGATGAATGATGATGATGAGTATTGGCTTGTCTGAGAACCTTGATAGTGTACACTAAAGACTAATAGCCTAAACAGCATGGCTTCTTAAAGCGTGGCCTGTTGGCTAATGCTAGTATAGCATAGTATGACATAAAAAAGCTATTAAAAAAAATCACGGTACAGTGTTTTATAAAATATCTTAGTATAGAATGTCATAAAAAGGTCATATGTGTGTATGTTAAAAAGAAAACTCATAAAAAAGTCACAGTATACTATGTCCTCAAAAGTCTAGTGCATGATGTCATAAAAAAATCCTGCTATGGAATAAAAAGGTCACAGTGTATGATTTCCACTGTACTGTCGAAGATGGGTCAAAGATGTCAGCCTGGCGCACAATTCACAAACTAAGAACAAATAAAGCCCAATGGCCCCGACAGGCTAAAGCTGAGATGTAGGGGGAGGCTGTAGCTCAGTGGACAGTGTGCTGGACTTCGAATCAGGGGATAGCAAGTTCGAGTCCCACTGCAGTCAGCATGTCGTTGTGTCCCTGGGCAAGACACTTCACCCCAAATTGCTCCTGTGGGGATTGTCCACAGTACTGAATGTATGTTAGTCGCTTTGGATAAAAGCATCTAACAAATGACATGTAATGTAATGTATTTATGTTTATCTCAGTGAGAGCTGTATTCACTGTCTCTAGCTAGTCACAAGTCGGGGGAATCAAGCGTGTTTACTACAGAGGTATGATCCCAAAATTAACAGATTTTGGCTAAGCTAACGTTGTAGGTGTGCCGTCCACACTTAAAATATACATTTTGGATTGGTTTCTGTAGAAATCTGAGGTATAGAGTTCTGGGTGCTGTTACCCACAGCCAGGGCTGATGTTTCTGATTCAACAACATCAGTATGTCAGTAAATACAGGAGGAGACAGTGTCCCGAGAAATCCCGCTCAATTTTAAAAGTTAAACTCTCTAGAATACCCCCTTTTTGCGTGACTTGTTTTATGTGCGTCGCCCAGCCAGACCGTGAATATATCTGCATCTTTCTTTGCATTTACTTTATATGTAATCGCCAAGTGCGAAAAATGTGCTTACTGTCCAGTGTAAACGCACCATTAGTACTGCCCAGAGATTGAATGTGTCCGATTGCAAGTTATAAGCCATGTATTTCCAAATGGCTGAACTTATCACCTCCACCAAGACTGTAAATTCAAACATCTGTGCACAGCGATCCAGTGAAATGATCAAAATAACTCAAAACTAAATAAATGACTAAATTAGTGGGTGAATAAGGAAATGTTTGAGATTAACCAGAATTTGAGTGTCATTTCAGCCAATTCAGCAGAAAAGTTATCTTGAAAAACACAAAAAAGTTTCAACAAAGCTTTCCTTTGTCAGATTAAATAATAGTTTTGTTAGCACTTACCTGTGCCCAGGGCTGGGAAGGCGACGGAGTTGAACTTGTTCTCCTCACAGTATTTCAGCACTGAGTAAACCATGTCTTTAATATTGGCAGGATCATTCTGGCCCACGATGTGGATGATGTTTTTGCTGGGCAGCAGGCCGGCCGACGTCAGGATGAATGTATCAGCCTGGAAACTCGGGGAACTCACTACAGAGAGGAACCAAACACACTCATAACACATTGTTCTGCAAGTGCCTAAAAACTAGTTAGAAAGCTAGCAGAGGAGTCGAAGTATGTGGATAAACTGTTCAAATAGATAGATAGCTTGTAAATCATAAAAAGTTAAAATAATAGCCTAAATAAATAGATATATGGTTGAAATATTATTACAGTATGAGATTGACAAGATGAATTCCCTCTACGTACCGATCCCTGAGCACTCCTGCTCAACTGTTAATCCAGCGCTGTCTAAGATCGCCTTGGAAACGCCTGAAAAATGATAAACAAAGAGAAGAGACTTAATAATGAAACATAAATCAACCAATCAGTGTTTAAGTCAACATTCAGGCAGCCATTGAAAATCATTCTGCTTTTTCCATTTTTGGTCGATGCGAGGACACTTTTGCTTCAACAAAGTGAGACATATATATATTATGTACTCTACTTCTGCTTGGAATGGATTTTTTCTGCAATAAAACATTATTATGTTCAGATCAGATACATACATTAAAATAGAGAGTAACAGGAGTACTGGAAGAGGAAAGTTAAAAGTGCAGCTAACAAATGAATGCTAGGTAAAAACCTATGCTAACATTAGCCAAAATAAGATAATTGCCATATCATCTTCCATCTGTAAAATTGAATACGGAAATAGGTTAAAGGTAGGGTAGGTAAGTTTGAGAAACCGGCTCGAGATGCACTTTTTGTTATATTCCATGGAATGCTCTTAACATCCCGATAGCAATGAATATCTTAACCTCTTAAGCCCTGAGCCTGTTTTTCAGGTCTCAGGCTCGAAAATGACATTCCCAGAACAAATGACCATATCTTCCCTTCTAAAAGGGTTAAATTAATCATCTTTATTCTCAAAGTAATGATAAACCTGTGAGTTGGATGTAGAAAAGTCAGAATCAATATAGATGTTTTTTATTTTAAAGAAAATTCAGATTGAACATAGTAAAAAACTGTAAATTATAGTGTCCGTCCAAAAATAATTTTTTACTTATAGTGAAAACTACCCTTGGATGATGGGTTAGTAGACTAAAAGCTTTAGGAATCCAAAGTACAACATATAATAAGTACCCTGTATCAAGATTGATGCAAAACAAGTGAAATTTGACCTTTTTAGAGAGATTTAGCCAAAAACCCCCGCTTCTGGGGTCATTTGGGTGGATTTGACCTATCTCTGGCCCCCCTTGCTCGATTTTGATGAATGAAATCTCTTTATAACCGCTAGAGCCAATGGAATCGAGGGAAAGTTATATACACACCAAAACGTTAACAAATAAGGAGTGAGAGTGACGCGTTACCAAAACCGGAAGCTGCATAACTCTGGTGGCTACCATTAGCAGCTAACTTTTCCGCTCCGATTTTTACATAAAAAATGGAATTATGGATTATAAATAATTTTTTCAAAGGCACAGGTACATTAACAACCTATGGATCAACAGTTGTAGCATTTTGTTTTTTCGTTTTAATGCCATTGAACACGTCTTTTGACCTAATTGACAGCTACGGTGAGACGATCTGCCGTAAAAGCTTCTTAAAGGTACGTGTTGTGATGTCTGTGTTTGCTTCCCCTGTCGCAAGTTCGGATCGCTCAGTGATGATACTATACCTAAATAATCAGTGGAATCTCAGCTTTAATCGGCTATATTGTATGTGCAGCTACGATAAGTAATAAGGGTATCTTTATCTTGAATTGTGTGCCGCAGTGCGTTAGAATTTTTTCGCTCAGGGGTCATTTAGACGCTTCTTATGAGACTTGTGTTTTGTTTTGGTAAAAATGGTTCATATCTTCAGTTAGCTGAGATTATTCCCGTTAATCTGGTGCTACACATTAATAGCTTCATAAATGTTAAGAAGCCCTGAGACATTATCTCGAAAAAAAAAACGGTGGGAGGGGTCCAATGGGGGGACCGCCGTGCTTAAGAGGTTAAGTGCTTTGACAAAAAATCCATACAAAAATGTCCTCTGTGGAAGCCGTAATACTGTAAAAAGTACGACCAATCATTTTAGCCGGCCCAGCTAAAATAACTGGATGGCCTACCTGCCTGTCAGCCTTCCATCTGTGCACAAACTTATCTCGTGCCCTCATTGGTCATGTGCGCGTTCGTGTGTGTTGGAGGAGGGGCTCTGTAAGGAAGTGGCAGATTTTCTCCGGTTGTGTATTTTCAAATTCTAGCGATCTCGAGCCGGTTTCTCAAACTTACCTACCCTACCTTTAATTTAATGGCCTGTACAATTAACTTTTAATTAATTAGAATAATGAATATTAATTTTCATCTTTAATCTCACATTTAGAAAGGGTAATGTACGGAAGCCGACAGGTGCAAACACGTTACAGCGACACAAAACATTTCCATTAGGAGAAACGCGCTGCAGTTGTTGCGCTTTTGCACCTGTCGGCCACCGTAGAATGTATGTAATTAGTGTACATTTTCATCTAAAAAGCTTAATATTGTCAAATGTCAAAATAAATATGCTTTTTCGATGAAAGATTTACACCGTTACTTAAAACTGACTTTTCAAGTCCCTGCATATAATTTTCTATTGAAAATAACTGAAACAAATTGTGCCTGGAATCATAGAAAAAACTTCTAACGGCCCCTACACACGGCGGCGTGCGTTGAAGCTTCAACACTTCTGCCCATTCACTTTGAATGGGGTGACGTCACACTTTGCCGAACTGCATTGTCCAAAAGTAGAGCAATGTTCAACTTTTGAAGCTTCGACAGAAGCGTCAGCCAATCGAATCATATGCCAGTACAAGCTCTAGCCAATCAAACCGCGTGCTTGTGTGTCCGGGGCGGGAGATTCATGTGATTGGTTGTTGGTCGAGTTTCAGACACGCCCGCCGGCAAGCTTCACCGCACGCCGCCGTGTGTAGGGGCCGTAAGTCTTATACAAAAGGAGTTATCAGTTATGTATAGTTCAATATTTTCTAAATTAGGATGGTCCTTTGAGTTTAAAGTTGTACAAGTTCAGTTAAGAGGAAGATGATGGCTGATAACAAATTATTTTGCTGTACTGTATCATATTTGTGGCTGTTTGTTTTTTTTTTATACTGTGATTATGTCTACTATGTAAATAAATATTTTTCTGTTGTTGAGCGAACTGGAACAAATTCCAACAACTGCTGTTAATATGGCAATACCTTATTGAATTTTAAATCTTTAGAAATACGAGTCACCTGATTTAAGGGAAAAGTCTTTATTGGAGGAGTTGATGATGACATCACAGGCCTCCTTGGTAATGTCTCCAGACGACACCTCCAGTGTGAGCTGACCCATCTGCATCTGATACACACCGAGGGAGGGGGACGACACCTGACCAAAGGAGGCTGACACACACACATCTCTTCTTAGCTTTTTTGTATTATAAAATCTTCATTCCTACCAATGTATATGATCCAAACTAGAGTTCAACACTAGCGTGGTGAACTGGAGGCTCAAGACATCCGTTAAAGTCACCTTTCTGTCTCTCAAATCAAAGTATCTGTGCATTTATCAAATCAATAACATTGTATAGTTACAGACTTACTCCATTTGACCCTTTAAATTCTCAACTTTCTATTTATAGATTACTGCTGAGTGATTTTGTTGCTATGAAATTCCACATAGGTTTTTGGAGGCTTCTTACCTGAGGACTGCTGTGATTGGCTGATTGGATGATGACTGACTGGCCTAACGGGTGACTTGGTTCTCTGACCACTCTCACCACTGAACTCCCTGGTGAAACACTGACAAACAGGATGATGGTAGATGATGTTAATAATACTCCATACATGTCTCTTTGGGTATGGAAGCTCAGTTTAAAGCTGTACTAAAGAAATAACATTGTTTGACATTGATGGACAGTAAAAAAAGAAAAACAAATCAAAATCAATGCAGCAGAACCAGATCTATAATCTTTTTTTATTGCACACATCATGCTCCCCATTACCCACAATGCAACTTGACCGCCAGCATTTGTCTGTGATATTGTGGTTACTAGCTGCTAATGGAGCCAGAGCAGAGATCTGGTAAGCGCAGGAATGTATAATCTTCAAACTCTGCGTTTTTACTCATTGGACATTTTCTACTGTGAGAAATGTTTAATTGACAACATTTAAAAGGTAATAACAGGATGAAATGAACTCACATCCACAGTTTGCTTGTCACTCGGGTGAACGACGATGGCCACCGCTCTCAGATAGCGAGGGGATCGTCTGCGGCTGAACGAGTGGATCTCCTGCAGCAGGACTCTGGACACCACGTCTCTGGGGAAGCTCAGGTTTCCTGTGCCGATGGCGGGGAAGGACAGCGACGTCATCTGATTCTTCTCAGCCTCCTCCAGACAATATCTGATGATGGTTATCAACTCCTGACACAAAAAGACAACACACATGTTGGTCCGTTTCCCTCCATATTACCAGCAACTAGAGCACATTGATAGTCGGCCAACTGTCTTTTAAGTGAACATTGTAGGTGCTTTCCATTTTATGCTGCCAGTGTTGTAGTCAAGTCACAAATTCTCGAGTCGGAGTGCAAGTCTGAGTCGAGTCAAGTCGAGTCCCAGTCGAGTCCGAGTCGAGTCTGAGTCGAGTCCGAGTCCAAGTCATCATTACCTGTGCTTGAGTCCAAGTGCAAGTCCGAGGGTGTTTCTCAATCGCGAGTAAAGCTGCTTCAGAGCCACTATTTCAAGCATACTACGTCATCGAGTGCCGCCGAAGTACTGTTCCAATCTCCAGCATACTTAGAAATCTACCGAGCCCGGCGTACTCCATTTGGAGAAATATCGAGGCTGCACATGAGTAGACTTCGCGGTCTTAAAATCCCCACAATGCTTTGCGCACGGACCAATTTCCCCAAATCTGTGGCGGAAGATGTAAGGGGGGGCCTCTCATATGACGCACACCTGCACACTTGCTAGCGTGTTCCACACTTCGTTTTCCGAATGCCAGGAAGTATTCTTGCCTCGCTTCTGAAGCAAGATGCTCGGCAGACATGTGCTACCAAGCAAGCGTACTTGCGGTTGAGAAACACCCCAAGTCTGAGTTTTATTGTCTGCATTGCTTTTATCCTTTTATTTCCTGCATTGCTTTTATTCTGGTTTTCCATACCATTGCTACGCTGACGACATCCAATTCATTCTGTCTTTTCCCCGTTCTGAAACCCAGGTCGCCGCACGCATCTCTGCTTGTCTAGCTGACATCTCTCAGTGGATATCTGCTCACCACCTCAAGCTCAACCTTGACAAGACCGAACTGCTTTTTCTTCCGGGAAAATATTGCCCCACTCTTGACCTAGCAATCAACATCGGCCCGTCTGTTGTTTCCCCGACTCAGACTGCAAGGAATCTGGGTGTGACCCTAGATAACAACCTGTCCTTCACTGCAAACATCGCTGCAACAACCCGCTGCTGCAGATACACTCTTTACAACATCAGGAGGATACGTCCCCTCCTGACCCAGAAAGCAACGCAACTTCTGGTCCAGGCTCTCGTCATCTCACGCCTAGACTACTGCAACTCCCTCCTGGCTGGTCTACCTGCATGTGCCATCCGACCTCTGCAGCTCATCCAGAATGCAGCGGCTCGTCTGGTCTTCAACCTTCCTAAATGTTCCCACACCACACCGCTCCTCTGCTCACTTCACTGGCTTCCAGTAACTGCTAGAATCCACTTCAAAACACTGGTACTAGCGTACCATGCTGTGAATGGATCTGGCCCTTCCTACATCCAGGACATGGTTAAACCATACACCCCAGCACGTGCACTCCGCTCTGCATCAGCCAAACGGCTCGCTGCACCCGCACTAAAGCCAGTTGAGTAGCACTTGAAATGTTTTGGCTCTATGAAACCTGATGTACTTATATGATTCTGTCTTCTTCAAGTTTGTATCTTCTTGGTCGAATGCACTTATTGTAAGTCGCTTTGGATAAAAGCGTCTGCTAAATGCAATGTAAGGTAATGTAAGGTCATTCTGTATTTTATATTAATTTGTCTATACAACTGCTGTGAAGCACTTTGGGCTGCAATTATTGTATGAAAGGTGCTATACAAATATAAGGCTTATTATTATTATTATTATCAAGGTTGGGTTTAGTTGCAAGATTGCCTTAAAAGAGCTGCCTTACAAATAAACACGGTCTACATCGAACACAATGACCCACTTTCACCATTTCAGTTTAGTTAGTGGTTCCAAAAGAAACTGAAAATACTTTAACATTCCACTGACCTAACTAAACCATCACTGTACTGAATTACTTTATTAGGGATGGGTCTTAAACATAAATATTGAAATGATTTTAACAGTGAACTAATCAGCACTCAAGTGCCACTCGAGTGCCAGTCGAGTACTCCAACTCTTGCCACTTCTATGTGACTTCATTTGAATGTGAAATAATGTGCTTTTTACTTCGCTACATTTATCTGACTGCAGTTGAAAACCTCACACCAACACATAAATGAGTTCAAACTACTTCCAATTCAACCAAAAAACACTGTCAAACGGTGATGTTTAAGCTGTGAAAGTCAGTGGGTTTATGGGCAATGGTGTACACTAGATGCCGACATGTTGAATAAACATTGTATTAGATTATTGTTTTGTTTTTTAAATGACTTTCCTATCAAAACATATTGAGGTAATCAAGTGACATACTTTTGAGAGATGATGAGTTGTAAAGCTGGGTCTTTAGTTTTTAGGGTTTTAACAAATGAAAATGGGACTTTTAAATGAAGGCTGAAACAGAACTATCTTAATTGTGTCTCTTACATGTACTACAGCTGTAGTTCTCTGTAGTAGGTACTGTATATGATGCGTAAAACACAATGTTTCCATTGCATGTTCATTTATCTTTCTTCATTTACAATCCGTTTCTTTGGACCTCCTTTTTAAATAATCCCTCACCTCATGGCCCGCTCCGTTGTTCCAAAAAGGGCAAACGGTATGAAAGACTTTTCGACAGTTGAGGTTGAAGCCATCGGTGATGACGACATCGCCCTCTGGCAGCACAGTCGCCCCCCCTTCAGTCAGAACCGCCCTCTGCAGGCCTGGCCCGGCCGCCTGCAGGATGGCTTTAGACACAGCTCCCTGGATCAGGTCCATGTCCGCTGAGATGGTGTTGATGATGACGTCAGTCTGTGGACCAAAACCACAGCGTCTTCACAAGCTTAGGACTAAAAGTTCATTATTATTATCCTTATCTAAAAATACAGTAAAAATATTTACTGATTTCAGCTAGACTTTTATTACAGGTTAGTGCAAGATGACAAAATGAACTTAACTGGTTAACTTGGGATCACCTCTAAAGAATACTTATACACAGTTAACACATCCTGACATTTTCTGTCTCCGTTCTCTCCACCCACCCTTCCTCTCCATTCCAACCATCTATTCCCTTTCTAACCTCATCCTTAGCCACATCCCTTCATCTCTCACTCCTCTCATCCCTTCATCCTGACCCACATCCTGTCAGCCCTCCACCCATCAATCCCTTCCTCCCTCACTCACTCCCCTCATCCCTTCATTCCAACCCACATCCCTTCGACCCTCCCATATCAATCCCTTCATTCCTCTTTTTCCTCATCCCTTTATCCTCACAAACATACCTTCACCCCTCTATCCATTGATTCCTTCATCCCTCACTCCTTCATCCCAATCCACATCCCTTCGACCCTCCCACATCGATCCCTTCATTCCTCACGTTCCTCATCCCTTTATCCTCACCAACGATGGATGATTGAAGGGATCTTCAATCATCCATCCATTGATCCCTTCATCCCTCACTCGTCTCATCCCTTCACCCTTCCACCCATTGATCCCTTTATCCCTACATACCAGCATCCCTCCCTCTCCCTTTCCCTGCATCCTCTCTATCCGTCTCCTTTCATCCCTTCCTATTCAACTAGTGCATACTGTAGGTGCCATAATGCTACTTAGCCCAAGTTCATTATTTGTATTATTATTTGTTTACATCACTTTTATTTGTTTGTTGAGCACTTCCGGTAATTGTCACATGGGTGTGGTTTGTGTATTTAAGTCACCTGTTTCATGTCGAGTGCGGATGACAGAGGGTGAGCTTGTGCTGTCATTTTTTTCTGTTGACCGTTTTGTCCATGTTATGATTTTGTTTATTAAATATCCCAAAAACTATCTTGCTTCACTATGGACTTTCTCTTCGAAAACGCGTCACAGTTTATAGCCAAGTTTAGCCTCTCGGCGACTCAAACGCAACTGGGGATTGAGCCGCCACACATACTTTTCTAAATATCTAATTCCACCTACAGTCTGAGGTGCCTGTAATCAGCTCAAGCAGAAATTAGCCTGAGAGGGAACCCCCACCCTAAGTCTTCCTCTGCCCAGACTTCAGCACATCCAACCGGACCAGCCTAACAGATGGCATGCTTCCCCCACCTTCACCACTCCCTCCAAATGAATTCTTTAGATTGCCATATCGTTGTGGTGTGGTGTGGTCCCTGCTAGAAAACGCTATGCTATTCACGGACTCTGTCTACTAAGGCAGGGTTTGTACTTGTACACACTGTATGTCAATATCATCAATATCTCTATTCAGACTATATTCTTATATTGTATCTACTATCCATATAAAAAAACATGCTTGTTTTTGTTTAAACGTTTTCCTTTTTGACAGTGGTGTTTTTGGTAATGTTTCACTTGTTTCTAGTTTTCAGTTATTATTTATTGTTTTATTTTGGTGTACTCACCTTTGTCTCCTCTTTCAGTGTCAGGTTGTCTACTCTCCTTGTAACTAATGATTAGTGTAGTATGTTTTGTTTGTCTGTCGTTACTTGCTTGTTATGTACTCTCTGCTATAGTACCTTCATGTTTAAACCATTTAACTCAGCCTGCTACCCCCTTATCACTTTTTCTGCACTTGATGACTTTATGTAGATCGTTACCATAACCAATATGAAAAATGATAAAAACAAAAATGGTATCCAAGTTGAAGAATGGGAATTATTCTTAAAGCCAAAGTTAGTGGCATTCACCCGAATTTGTCCTATTATTACTTTTACCATCTAGTAGATATTACCTACCTAATCCACAACAGCTACATTCAGAATAAGGCATCTACAGAAACCTGCATCAGTAATATACTACAGTTTATCATCAACTGTTTTTCAATTGGTGCTTTAATAATACTCACAGTCTGGTCCTGGATGTTTCCCTTCAGCAGAACAATCCTAAGACCCTCCGACGTGGTCTGCTCCATCCTCCCTGACCTACAGCCAAAGAACATTGGTAATGTCATCAATGTGAATATGGTCACCATAATTGTGTTCGTTTTTCTTGCCCAAAAAGAACAAAATATGTTAAAAAGGAAACACTTCCTGGTCTACAAATTTGTATTCCTTATTTTTCCAGTTTGGTACTTTTCTTTTGTAAGATTAGCATTGGTTTGGATTTGTTCCAGACTCTATAAAAGACCTGAAAAAAATGTTTCTCGGATTCCAATACTGTGGTCTTTGAAACTTAACTTAAAAGAGCAAAAGCAAAAAGAAGCAACCAACAGAAAAGAAAGATACAAAGAAGATCCTTACCCTCCATGCCCTTCAGACCTGGCGTGTCCCCTGGGGCTCTGACTTTCCCTGTTACCTCGCAAACCTCCCTCAAATCCAGCTGCTCCTCCACGTTCTCCTCCGCGTTCTCCTCCTTTTCCTCCTCCGTTTCCTCGTCCGGGTTCTCCTTCACGTCCTCCTCGGCGTCCACCTCTGCGTCCTCCTCCTCTTTCAGCGCCTTGATGGCCCCTGGATGACTGGCTTTGACCTCGACCCCACTGATGTCTGCTGGGAAGTAAGCAATAAAGCTCAAACCCACACAAATCTAACTTCCAACAAGCATGTCTGACCTACGTGTTGTTAATTGAACTGGTATAAAAATAGAACTGTAGCAGCATATAGCCTTAGAATTGCTGAACACAACATTTTTTCCAATTGATCCCGAAACAATAAAAAAAAATCATCCAATTGATGTTTTATGGAGTTTGTTACTTTGGACAAAGCTAGCCAAGCTGTAGTATGCTGTAATAATAAGCAAAAGGTCCTCAATTTACCCTGAAGCCCCGGTGCCTCTTCCTCCTGCCAGCTGTGGTAGAGTCAAAATGGGTCCGAGGTCATTGAACTCTCTGTTGACAGCTGTGGCCAAGACCTTAACAGTGTTATGGATGTTGTCCACCAGCTGGATCTCCGTCAGTGACCGTGGAGCTCCTGGACTGTCACAGTACTCCCTCACTGCCTGTGCTATGGTGTCAGCACAGAGGTCCACAGGAAACCCGAACACTCCTGAGCTGATCGCTGGCAGTGCAATGGTGGAGCAGTTCACTTGCTCTGCTTGTTTCAGACTGTTTTTAACAGCAAGCTTCAGACGTGACACTGCTGTCATCTTATCTGAGTCATGGAACCGAGGACCGACGGCATGTACGACGTACTTGCAAGGCAGGTTGCATGCGCCTGTTACGATGGCTTCACCTGGGCGAAGTTTTCCATTTACCTGTATATGGTCATTGCTGATTTTCTGCAGTTCTGGTCCTGCAGCCTTGAGAAGTGCATGAGCCAGGCCTCCAATGTGCTGTAAGTCTTCATTAGCAGCATTGACCACCGCATCCACGTTTAGGGTACAGATGTCTGCATTGCTGACGGAAACTAGAACCCCATTGGCAGTCTTCACTTTGCAAAAACAAAGGCCATTTTCTTCCCCATAGTTCTCTTCTTCCTCTTCTTCTTGATTCTCTGGACAGAGCACGACCACACAGCTGTATTCGGTCATTATTGTAGAAAGGAAAAGGCTTCCTTGAGTCTGGAAGTACTTCTTGGCTCCAGGCTTATCCACAACAAAGTTGTCAGTGGAGAGAGCACTAGTCAGTTCCTGAAAGCAGCATTTGGCTTTCTGTACATGAAGACGAGCCCCTGCCAAAGTTATTTTTGGCCTCTCTGAATCAAATTGGACTTCAACAGCATTATCTTTGGCAATACTGAACCACTCTTGTTTTTTTTTATTCTCAATGAACAGAACAACAGCAAAAGACCCGACGCGAATGGTTTCTTTAACTTGTGAGAAGTTAACAATGAATTCCCTCAGACTATTGCTAACCTCTTTTACTGGAATCTGGAAGCCGGTCACAGTTATTTTGTTTCTTCTTTCTGGTTGGATCTGAATGGCCACTGTTTTATTCTTTAAGGAGTTGTAGGTGTCCAACAGCTGTTGGTTTAGGTCCACCCAGTTGTGAAGTTTCAGAACTTCTTGATCTTCCACATCCAGAGTCTCCACACTAAAAACTGTCTCCATCTTTTTCTCTGCAACAGCAAGGACAGGCTCAGAAGTCCCCAACAGTAAAACCCCTTTGCTATCAATGCTGTAGATGGCACTGATGCCTTGGGATGTGAACAGGCCCTTTGACATGTCCATGGCATCCACTGTATTAAGATAGTCTAAAAGACTTGGAGAGACATTCAGCTGCTTCTTACTCATACCCACGGTCCGCTCCAGGATCCATGACTTAGTCTTGTAAACTTCTGCAGGTAGTCCTGTAATGGTTAACTTCTGGGCGCCTTCATCCATCGAGATTTTCATGTCAGGGGAGATGTCCTGGGCAGCTTTGAGTAAGCCCTCCTGATTCAGGATGTAGAACTTTGCAGGGGACATATCCATACACTCAGATACACCTTCTGTCTGCCGTTTGATCTGGCTGATGGCTTTAAGAACAATGTTCTCCACAGGACCTTTGACTTTCTTTATATCGTCACCTCGGCCAGCCACAGTCAAAATCCCCCGGGATGCATCCAGAACGAGGGCAGCATCTTCCTTGACAACGGAACGGACTTCTTTTTCTGCAGCTTTCCATGCACTGGCATTCACTTTACATTCGAAGGCAGAGTACTGAGACATTTGCTGACGGAAGGCCTCTTGTGCTGTACTCATCCAGGTATCTACATGTCTGGCAGTTAGACCTTTCTGCCTTAAAAGGCTGGGGAGAGGGCTGAGTATTACATCAGGGTTGTCCAAATTCACGCTACAGAAGTATGAAGACATCTGATCGTTGATACTTTGGAACAGTTTCTTCTCCCGGAGGAATCTCCAGACTACATTGTGAACACTCTCTCTGAAAGGCTCGGGCATCTTCCATGTTGGTCGTTCTTTGCCGTACAAGGCGGTGCCCATGGACTCATAGTACGGATACACCTTGAAAGTTATGGATCGCATCGCATGGTCTTGTTTACGGCAAATGCTTTCCACAACTGCAGCAAAACAGGCAACAAAAAAGAAAGCTCAGGTAAATAATTGTTCTTTTTGTTAGAACACATTTCAACTTTAAATTACAATGAGCAATGAGTAGTAAAGCTAAATAAACAAACCTTTGGCGTTATTGAAAGTTGCAATAGCAGCATGTTCATCTGGGATCATGACGACATTGTCAGGCAGTGTCCAGCTCTTCTCAAAAAACAGCTCCAACATCTCTGGAAAGGAATCACAAATAAAGAATGAGAACTAATAATAGTGGAAAACACTGCTGGGAAACTGTGATTAACATTGTGTGTACCTTTAACCGCAGTCGGAGAAAGATTCTCCACGCGGACGCTCTCTGCTGCCTCCAGTGGTCGAGCGGTCAGTCCGTGTTTCTGCAGCTTCTGACTGCACCGACTGCCAGTGAGGAACTTGTCCACATCTGCAAAACACTCCTGATTACTCCTTCAAGACTGAAACCGCCGTATCAGGTGACAATTACACATGTTAGGAATGATTTAGCCTTAACCTACAACAAGGCCTGGTGAAAGGTCTGTTATCTCAGGTATATGTCCTCGCTCATTGGTGGATACATTTTCTATATATTTTGTTTCTTTCTCAGAATAAATACTTTTTTTCTACTAATTTAAAGGATGATTTATCCTCCGCTCATTTCATATGATTTCAAGAACAGCTGCTAAATGGATTTTGTGTATTGCATTCTGCTTCTTCAAATGTCAAATAATAAAAATGTCCCTTTTTCTTAAAAAGGGCAAAATTACCTCTATATGATAATATGGGCTATATATTGTAATATACAATTAGTTTACTCTATCAAATAAAATACGAATAAATGATTGTCATCCCAGTGTTATAACTCTCTTTATGAGAGGCTTCATGAGAGGCTTTGACTGTGTAGACTGACGGATCATTTTAGATGTCTAACACAATGTAGCTTAGGTTTGTTTAAAAAGAGCAACTATATGAGCTTTTATTGTATAAAGCGGTAAAATTAATAGAACTTTGACTCACAAACGCAAGAACTGTACAAATAATCACTGGTCAGGATGAATAAAAGAGAAGCTTTTCACAACATTTAAAACATAGTCACATTTATTACTTCATTTCATTTAAACATTTGGATGGATATTTATTTTTCTTTCTTTGTGCATAATTATCTAGTCATTTTCCATGCATCTTAAACGTGGTAGAAATTCTCCCCATTGCATGTAGATTTTTAGAATTAGTTTACTCCCATCTTTTCATGCTGCTGGCCATTTGAAGGACTAAATAATAACCTTGAATACTGAGCTGTGATGTTTTTGCTTTGTGATGCTAGTTTTGTAATCTTTAGACCCATTGATCCAATAAAAGATGGATCTGAATCTTTTTATTTCCTACCTGCAGGTTTGTTAAAGGTGATCACGGCTCTGCTGCTCTCCCAGATGATCTCCAGACTGTAGCAGGTCTCGTCCAAACCCGAGATGTTCTCCACCAGCATGAACAGCAGATCTCTGGACAGGCGGTCCGACACGTTGTCCAACACCACAGCGCCGCTCTGAACGGACTTCTCCTTCTCTGTATCGGTTTTTTCATCTGCTTCAAAGAAGTAAAATGCGAAAACATTGAAAAAGCAATTGGGTAAGATTTAGTATTTCCTATTATTTTAATGACAGATTCCTTGGAATAACTGTAATTAATAACAAGGGTTAATTTATTTGCAGCTGATCTGCGGTATTTATAATGACAACAAGACTATCTTGGTCTCGCTTATTAATCAATACATTTAAATAATGTATTGGTAGTGTACACCTTGTTGTGTATAGTTGTGCCAAATTAATATTAAAATAAATGTATTTGTAAAAAACATTTCAAGCAAAGAAGCCATCCAAAATTCTTAATAAACAGTGAAAAAATAAATACAAGTCATATTTTTGATAACAATATGATAAAAATGTTCATTAAATTACACATGTTCTGAATAATTTTAGGGAAAAATAGCTCAGAGGTTAATTGAGTCACTTGATAACAACTAGACTCTCCATGACAACCAAGCTAACGGATGAAAGCCATTACTGAAAGCTAAGTGCAACTTTCATTTAGTTAAGCACATAAGTACAAAAGGAACATTTGCAGCACCAACTTCCTGTAGTTTAACGTTGTTCCATGTTCTTTTTATTCAAACCCAGTTTTTGTACCCTCTTTTTTCTCTGCAGTAGCTTCAGGAGTCTTTAAATCTGCCGGTAAATCTGAGAATCAAGACATTCAGGTTTAGAGGATTTATCTTCACAACTGAACTCAATGAAACTCAGCAAATCAGTCAAACGTGTTCAATAAAAAATTATAATGCAATTTAAAATAAAAAATTACATTAAATTGTTTCAAACTATAACACTGTGATCATGAAACCAGAGAAGAAGAACAGAGTTTTACCTGAGGCGTCATCACTGTTCACTGGGCTCTGAGGTGTGAAAACAAAATCATAGCTTTAGTCAGGCAGAATGAACCAATGTCTAAAAATCTGTTTTTCATGCGAACTGTAAAAGTGAGATCCTCATCTGGGAATCCCACAACACATGAACAATGAATTTAGAACGTTTTTTGAAAATATAAGCAAACATCTAAACATTTGAATATACCATCACATATTTATAATAAATATCAGATAACAATTTTTTTTCCAATTTTTTTTAACGTTATTTTCTTTCAAACTCATATTGATTATCAGAATACCTTTATCAATCCTATTGATTGATTAATATTCTTTGTTATTCGTTGTATATGGAGGACCCTTAACTGTTGCTCTTTAATTACCCTCCAATCCTCAGAGGCCAGTATTGGGTCCACTCTTCTTCATAATTTACCTCCTTCCCCTTGGTACTGTCCTCCGACACCATAGAGGTTTCTCAATACTCTAATTTCCCCTCCTCGACTCCTCGGTCCTCCGGTAGTGACCCGGAAATGGATTTCAGCGCGCCATGTTGAAGGACATCTAATTTCTCTAAATGCACATCGAGGACCGAGCATCGAGGAGGCACTCTGGAGGAGCTCTAACCGAGAAGACACTGATGGGTCCTCCACGGCTCCTCCACGGATGCATTTCCGGGAACGGTGGAGGCGTTACGCACAGCCGGACTTATCTCAGCCAATGACAGCTCTGCATGCATCCCCTGGATATTATTTTAGTAACTACTTTCATCGCGACGCGATGTTTACAGTGAGAACAGCTGTGAGGTCCGTGCAGAAAGCAGAGCAGTGTGTATAATATATATCACTCAGTATAACAGGCCTACATTACTCTCTGTATTTGTATGCTGTAGTTTAGTAGATATCTACAAACAAAGAGTCGATATTTTTCTAAGACCATTTAGTGCTTCACATAATAAAATACACAACGGCTGTAGCCTGATTATGCTTTAGGAGCTGTAGGTGTGTGTGGTACAGTGTGTAGGTGTGTGTGGTACAGTGTGTAGGTGTATGTGTGGTACAGTGTGTAGGTGTGTGTGTTGTACAGTGTGTAGGTGTGTGTTGTACAGTGCGTAGATGCGGCGGACAGACAGGTCTCAGTTGGTTTGGTGTCCTATGCTTACTTTTAATACTTGTAAATACAACTTTTGGCCCGTAATTTCAATTCCCCATTTCAGCGACCAGAGAGAGGGGGGGGGGATATATCCAGTCTCTGATTGTGTTACATTATTATGAGAGTGCTTTCATACTTGTTTGATTCTGAAATTGTATATATTTATATAAATATATGTGTGTGTATATGTCCGCATCTGTAGCCTGTTATTGTCTCATTATACCGCACTGTGAATGAATTCAAAGTAAATATATAAGTCATCATGAACACATCTGTCCATCAGACAGAGGGTTGTGCCTCCTGTCATCATTAATGGAGTCTCTTTAAAATGACCGCTCAGAGGAGAGGAGTTCTCATTTCTCTAACCGCCTGCTGCTTCCCCTCCTCTCTCCTCGGTTCCCCTCCTCGGCTCCTCCGCTCACATCTCCTGTAGGCGGCACTAAGTCTCGAGGATAGGAGTCGAGGAGGGGAGTCGAGGAGGGGAAATTAGAGTATTGAGAAACCTCTCTTGATGTCTCATTTTACTGTTATGCTGACGACTCACAGGTCTACATATCCACCAAACCCAACACTGCATGCAGAGGTGGGAAGTAACTAAGTAGATTTACTCAAGTACAATTTTGAGATACTTCCATTTTATGCTACTTTGTACTTTGTACTCCACTACAATTCAGAGGTAAATGGTGTTCTTTTATTCCACTACATGTATTTAATCCCTTTAGTTACTTTACAGATGTGGATGAATGATGTGAAATATAATCAAGTGTTAAATCAGACTTGAGTTCCACCTGGAGTAAATTCACAAGCTACCCTGCAGTATACAAAGTCATTCAAACTAGCTGCACCTTTACCAGCTTTGATAACACTTTAATGATCAATCATTAAAACATATATTATATATTATTCTGAAATGGACCAATCTGCACAATGACTACTTTTACATTTGGTACTTTAAAGTGGACCTATCATGCTATATTTGAATAATGTATTGTAGGGCCATACCTATATAAGGTATATGTATACGTTTTCTTTTTCAAAATACCAAACAGATCATGCATTTTAGCCATGCCTCATTTCGCTCTATTTTGTTTTCCTCCGGCCTGTCTTTGCATGCGCTGCAGCTGACCACGCCCCCCTGCAAAGGAGGGGGCCGAGTTACGAGCGTCGTGTTACCATGCTGTTACCATGCCACGGCAACCTCTCATTCCCCTGATAGGTCAGCTCCTCCGTCCTGACGCCAGAGGAATGTTCAAATCTGTATCAGTCTGTATCAGATCCGTTGCAGGCCCGTTTTTAGAGATTTGGGTATGGAGGAAAAGAGAGAGGGTTGTGTTTTCTGACACTTGGTGAGTTCCCTGGAACACCGGGGACACATATTCATGTATAAAAGACGTACAAAAGTGCATTTTGCATGATAGGTCCCCTTTAAGTATATTTTGGTGATGCTATTACTTTTCTACTTTTAATTGAATAACTTTTTGAATGCAGGACATTTACTTCTGTGTTTCTTTAAGTGGTATGTATTGTAAGCTTTATTTCAGGGAGGCAACCTTCAGAAAATGAAGTTGATGTTACGAGGTATTCAGATTCATGAATATAGCAGCAAACTACCACATTTGCTATGTTGAGATTTATTGTAATGGTGTCTTAAGCATGTTGAGACAAGGTTGGGAGAAAAGTTTTTAAAATAAAAGTTAAGAGATGTATTACCGGTTTATATGTGACATTTAAGAGACACTGTGGAACTTTAACACTAGAACCGCCAATCGGGTCAATTTGACCCAGAGCTGTTTTTTATTGTGTGTAACTTTTTTTCAATAAAATATTAAAGTCTTCCAGTCCGTGACTTTTCCTGAAAGTGTGTTATGTAGCACCCTATGTTGTTAAAAATTGTCAATATGAAGTCAGATTGAAGAAATCGCCCAAAAACTTGCCATTTATACCTATTTCCGCCCAGCGGGTCATATTGACCCCACCCCTTTTCATATAAACATGACGTGTTGCTATAGCAACGCCTTTTGTCTACTGTGGTTCCTTATACATGTAGATTGAGAGATAGATTGAGAGAGAGAGAGATAGATGGATATATTGATAGATAGTTATAGATAGAGAGAGAGAGAGAGAGAGAGAGATAGAGACAGTCTGTAGTGAAGGAGTGCGCTCCCGCTCACGGGAGACTGCTCGCGCTGCGCTCCGCAGCAAACAGCTGTGGGGCGAGTTGAAAGTACGTTATGCTGGCCGCGGTGTCTAAATAATGCTTCCGGGCCAGCGGGCCATTTATAATGTCGAGCCCCGAGAGTCCACAGATTATATTGGTATACGTTTCATCCCTGTGCGATCAAAACTCACTGTTCAATAAAAGAACATTTTACCTTGAAAATCAATGTATTCTAATAGCGGGTCAATTTGACCCAGGTGGCGGTTTTAGGTATAAAAAAATCTCTGGCGGTTCTAGTGTTAAATGACACTGTGGAACTTCTTAAATATAATTTAATTAAACAAATGTGAAATTTAAGGAAAGAAATAAAGAGTTGTTGAGGTTAACATGGAGGGACATTAAATTAGTCCAAGAGGCTCCCCAGCGAACATGGTGTCTCTTGGATGTTTTTCTTGACTCTTAAATCACTGAGTTATTATCATCAACAATCTGTCTGCAGCTGCTGTGCACTTTAATCAGGTTATGGACACACCCTGTCAGACTGCAGAGTCCACATCAGCAAGTGTGTCAAAGTCCAACTTCCTGCTGCACCTTCAGGAATGTATTTACATGCAGATCAAGGAAGAAGAACCAATAATGTTATAAAAGGAGCAGGTGACTGAAAGCAGTCAAACAGACACACTATGTTTTTGTATTTAGGGACTGTAGGAAACCTCAGACACGTTCTCTACTCACCGGTGCAGAAATCAGACGTAACTTGAGCGTTTGATTCCCCACGATGATTTCATGATTCTTTCTGGCGATGACACGCTTGCGCACTGAAATGACAACAAACACTTTATTAACATCCCAGCAGTAAAAGTTTAGCCACTACTCTGAACACATACAGAATTGGAAGCAATGGTTTGACACTGATTGTTGATTAAATATTGGATTTAAAATGTTGATTAGCTCTGTTTCAGTTTGTAAGTAGAGAAGATGCTGGATCATTTCAAGCAGAGCCAAACGTTTTTTAATTATCATTTATGTACTACTTTTTCTCATGCATCTTAATATGAACTTAAATTCTGTAAATGTTGTACATCAATTTATAGTACAATTACGAGAGTTTTCACCCTATACTGTACGTATAGGGTGAAAACTCTCGTAATTGTACTATAAATTCATCAAACAGCTTTCCTCATTCATATTATTGTTGATAAAATGTAAAGAAAGAAATATATCAATATAATCCACCAATGAGAAAACCACTTAGCCTTTCAGAATTTATGGATTTACTTTTATGATCAGAATCAGAAACAGATGTATTGCCAAGTAGGTTTACACATACAAGGAATTTAAAGTGAAAAAAAAAAAATTCAAACTATTATAAAAATCTATTTAAAAAAAACTATAATACAATAAGATATAGAAAGGTATTTACATGAATAGTATGTACAGTATACTAAGACAACATACTAAATACTCTTAAAGTACTCTTCTATCGGACCAGATACCTGAAGAAAAACAACTTGGACCCAGAAAATAAATACTGTTTTTTCATACGGTTCTCTTAAAGAAGACATATTCTGCTCTTTTTCAGGTTCATATTTGTATTTTGTGTCTCTGCTGTGCTTTAAGGTTCAGGGTGGAAAACCCCCAAAAGCTTAATAGGGCCCCTTTAAACCAATATATTGAACTGTTTTAAAGCAGAGGATTTCAGTTTGAGCATCAGGTTGTCAGGTGTGACTGTGTGGGCCCCTTAGCAGAATTTAGCTGGTGTCCTCATTAGGCGCGTTCACACCAAGTACTTTGCCATATTTAGTGCCGGCGTACGGAGTACTTTTCCCTGAGGGAAGATTACGCAAATGAGCCGCCAACGTCACTTCGTCTTCTTTTATATATATCTGTTGTAATTTATTGTCTTTTATTGTGATTGTAGTAATGTGTTTTTGTTACACAAAAATCGCTTTTAAATGTGCTTTATAAATAAAACTTGATTTGATTTGATTTGATTCTGCTTTGGGTTTACTGGCAGGCCGCAAACAACTTCACGGCGTATACTGCCACCCGGAGTCCCCGGCCGGAAGTCCCCGGAGTTGGGGACTGGCTTCAGTAGAAGCTGCTGGGACTCCCAGCAGCTTCTACTGAAGCCTTCCGAGTAAATCGCCAGAACGCCGACACCTCCTCATCTCCACCGCTCCCATGTTTTATTTTGTGTTGCCATAAGTTAGTCTCTCTGCATTTGTGCACTGGGCGAATGCTAATGCTAATAATGCTAATGCCAGGATAATAAAATGGCGGCTCTACAAAACATTTCAGAGTTGTACGGGGCGTGGTTTGCAATTCGCCCAGCCAATCAGAACTGGGGCACTTTTTTCCCCCAGGAAAGTACCATCTCTCAGCAGGCACTAAAAATGGGGGTACAAGTTCCCGAGATTAAGTGCTCTTTTTGGTGTGAACGCGACATAAGGGGTACTAACGGAACTAAACGTGAAAAGTACGGTGAAAAGTACTCCGGTGTGAACGCGGCTATTGAGGACTTAGGGGACCCTTCACTACCAGAGATAACAGGAAGTGAAGGGTGCCCTAAATCTGTAGCTCCGCTCTGTTTCACAAAACTTTCAGGTGATTTTCAGTTCTTTAATTATGTCATTTGAACACATTTAAAACAACAGTTTGGTTTGTGTTCCAATACAATGTTCATTATTTGAAAGAGTCCCTTCCTCTACATCGGGGCGGCAGTACCGCCGTCTGTAGGGACTTGGCTTGGGAACTGGAGGGTTGCTGGTTCCAGTACTGTAATGGCCTGGCACTTTGAGAGGTGTGCCAGTGTCCCTCCCTGGCTCTGCTGAGGGGCCCTTGAGCGGGCATCAGACCCCCACACTGCTCCCTGGGAGCTGTATAATATGTGCTATACTGCTAATACTAAGATAAGATAAGATAAGATAGGACTTTATTATTATTTATTTATCCCTAAGGAAATTGTTGTGCCAGAGTTACAAAGATACAATAAACACAGCAGCATACAAATAAAACTATACATTAACAGTGTAGTAAAAAGAGCAATTAAATAACTACAAGTAACATAGGCAGTCAAATTATTTATGTCAAAAATGTATGGCGAGCAGTATTGAGTAGTGCTCAAAGACTCAATTATTATTGTTTCATAATAATCGAGTCTCTGATCCACATCACCATTCCTCGGCTGTGACTCATCACCCGAACAGTATCATGCCTCGCAGCACGGGCGAACAGTTCATGAGCGTGCTCACTAGCGCACCTCCCCCACCCCCCACCCCCCACCCCCCAGGAGGAGGTGAAGTGCATGCTGGGAATTCATGTGACAATCTGAGCTGAGATCAGTGTTAAAATGTCATCTGAAAGATTCAAAGTAGGCCTACAAAATAAAAAGTGTTGTGGTGAATATAAAATAAACAATGAGTTTTAAATAATTATTAACTGAACAGTGTACAACAGTCCACAGAACCTTGTGTGTCGCAGTAAAACTGCCAGGCCTGTAGTTTGTTATGACATCAATAATGATTTGTTGTAGAAACGTTTTCAAACTGTCTTTCTTCGAAACTTTAAATATTTAAAATGTTATTACCACCAGAAACACAAGCAGTAACTTGTTGTTTTCGTAGAATTTAAGCAGTAACTCACCCTCCGGGCATTGGAAGTATACGGCCGCTCTCGGAGCTTCTTCCTCGGCCTCCACCCGGCAGTCCCCCCCGCTGGATTTCTTCTTGCTCCCGAAGTAAAGCTCCAGTTTGTTCTTCACGGTCTTGGTCTGGGCCGGACCCCAGTCCCCCTCCACGGTCACCGGTGGCGGACTCTCGGTCTGCTCCATCGTGTTCTCCGGTAACTCTCCGACAGACTGACAACAACACACGGAGCTCTCTCAGGCCGCGGCTGCTTTCACTTTCGTTTCCTCTCTCAGGGAAACTTAAACCTGCTGCTGACTCACAGAAAGTTTAACACAAGGAGGCTTCGACATATTACAAATGACTTCCCGTAGGCTGATAATAATACATATCTATTCATCAAATATCAATTAAAACATAGTTTAGGAACAACATCCCCCCCAGCAGTGCTGTAAAGTATAGGCTAACTAAGTTACTCAAGATTTACAATTTTGATATACTTGTAGCCTACTTTACTTTTTTAGTTCAATTGTTTGCTACTTTGTACTTAACTACACCTACAATTCAGAGTACAATCATTCGTTGATGAACTGAGTTCATAATATGGGCTGGACTCATTTAGGGACCAACGAAGTGCTGTTATTATTGTCAGGATAATTAATTCAAGCTCTTCTCTCTTCATCATGTGACCTAATAACTTCAAAACACTGTCTGAAAAGAAAACGAGTCTTTACACAGCAGACACACCTCTTTATATTGAACTTTGGTACTTTCTTTATTTACTATGAATATTTGTATTGAAATGTCAGCGTTTTTCTTCAATACTGTAGCTTAAGTCATGTGACCTAATATCTTCAAATCCATTTCAGAATGTAATACTATCTTTACACATCAGACACACCTCATTATAATAGATGTTGGTCCTTCCTTCATTATTTATTAATATTTATATTGAAAATTCAGTGTTTTTGATGTAATAGCATATATGTCATGTGACCTTATAACTTCAAATCACTCTTATAAATTAATACTAGTATGTAGACAGCAGACATACCTCTTCATATTGGATTTGAGTACTTCCTCTATTTCATATTAATGTTTTTATTGAATATTCAGTACATATTTTCAATAGCTTCTCTGTCATTTGACCTAATAACTTCAAATAACTCTCAGAAATTAATACTAGTCTGTACACAGCAGACACATCTCTTTATATTGGATTTGGGTACTTCTTTTATTTAATATTACAAATGTTATTGAAAATCCAGGGTGCTTTTCTTTCAAGCCCCCTGGCTCATATTGCAGTGCCAGTGTTTGTCCAGCAGGTGTCAGTGCAGCTCCACGCACAGTGATGCTGCCGGCACCACGTGTCTTGTGATTTTTATGTTTTTATACAGAGGCGAAGTCCCTCCCCTTCCGGTGGGACTCATGGGACCTTATTTCGGAAAAAGTTTGTATTGAAGTCAATGGAGAGAGAAAGATTATCTTTCGATCCCGTTTGAATTGTGCCACGAATTACACATATGATGTTTGTCAATCTTAAAAAATAATTTCCATGTCAAAAAAGTCACAGTTTGTCGTAAAACTGTTGAAATATAAGACTATGAAAAATACGCAACTAGAAAGACTACAAATCCCAGAATCCCGGTCCCGCATGCTGGCTCTTACGGAACCGACTAACTCCCCTTGTGTGTATGTACAGCTCTCAACATGCCCAGACTTGTAGTGATTTTCATCCATTTTAATACTTTTCGCCTCATTCTGAAAGAAAGAAGTGAAATGTGCCAACGTGACGGCCGTCTTGGTGTGTGGTGCGAGACGGGAGATGTAGTTCATTGAGCGGTTTCACACAAAAAAAGTGTTACTTCACAGTTTTACGACACATTTTTATTTTTTTGACTTGTAAAATTATCTTTTAAATTGACAAACATCATATGTGTAATTCGTGGCACAATTCAAACGGGATCGAAAGATAATCTTTCTCTCTCCATTGACTTCAATGCATAACTTTTCCGAAATAAGGTCCCATGGAGCTCAACCGGAAGGGGAGGGACTTCGCCTCTCTTTAGCTTCTCTGTCATGTGACCAAATAACTTCATACTCAGAAATCAATACTTGTCTGTACACAGCAGACACACCTCTTTATATTGGATTTTGGTACTTACTTTATTCAATATTATTATTTGTATTGAAAAATTACGGGTTGGGAATAATTTGGACTACCTATGTTGCAAATGTATCATCTTTTCAATTTACACACGGCATCTATTGCACGTATGTCCGTCCTGGGAGAGGGATCCCTCCTCTGTTGCTCTCCCTGAGGTTTCTCCCATGTTCCCCTTTAAACTGTGGGTTTTCTCTGGAAGTTTTTCCTTGTACGATGTGAGGGTCTAAGGACAGAGGGTGTCGTATTGTCATACTGATATTCTGTACAAACTGTGAAGTCCACTGAGACAAATGTAACATTTGTGATATTGGGCTATATAAATAAATATTGATTGAATTTCACACCGCATTTTCTTCAGGAATTGCATTCTATCTACTGCTGTACATAAAGGTGAGGTTTTGCCAACTGAAGATGCAGTGTTAAAGACTCAAGAAAACACTTTATTTCATCACATAGGAGGAATACATTGATTTCATTCAATTAAAATCCTTGTTGAGTAAATACGCTCATATGTATGTAAGCATTTAGATACATGACTTGATGAACAAACTGATGTAACATGACAAACATTTTTCTGTGTCCACTTATTAGTCTGATGTTAGAAATGGAGACTAGGTGTCTTCATAATGTTCTGTTCACGGCATCTGGCAAGCATCAGGCTTCATCTGTGGATTTTTCTTCACCTGCAGAGAATACAAATAGAACAATATCATCGCCATGACTAGTAAGGCGACTTTCAACACCTGTATTTGTGGGTTCTAATACCAGAAAAAACAGTAATGGAGTTAGAGGGCACACCGGGGGTCTAACTTTTGATAATGCAAATGGAATAAATTCTATGCTATTTATGATACACATATGATCATCATTAAAGATCAAACTGCCTGATAGCATATTAAGTAATGTAAATGAGCTCCACCTCTAACAGTTGGAACATTACATGATATTACTATTATAGATATTGATGAACACAATTACAATCCAACAATATAAAATGTATTATTTCGAAATGGCAAATTCTGCATAATAGGTGCTTTACGTATTGCCCTATGGGTATGATGCTAATTATTGTGCAATCTTACATAAGTTAGTGTTTTTTATACTTTGGTGTTGTTACTTGACTTAATTACTTAGTGACACATGTGGGGAAAAGGATAATTTAGTAGCAACAGTTATATGCACCTCAACACAGGTCGGTTTATTGCAGTTTATGAGCTTTTTATTCGCTGTTAATAATGACTTCTTCTCCGCTTAGTGACAGTGGAAGGGCCTCACACTAAAACGTTGACTTTAAATAAATGTATTATGTCAATACATACAGTAACTGTATTAGGTTAGTTGAAAGCAATACTATTACCTATTATATGTGAAATCTGTTGACATAATACATTTAATTTAAGTTCATTTAATGAAGTTTAATGACAGTGCATGATGATAAGAACACAAACATGTCTTTGTAAAGTTAGGGACTAGGAAATGTATCATTTCAATAAGTGTATTGACTAAAAGTATGTGTGTGTTTGTGTGCGTGCATGCATGTGTGTGTGCGTGCGTGCATGTGTGTGTGAGTGAGTGAGTGTGTGTGTGTGTGTACGTACAGTCAGCTTTGGTTGGAGGTGGTGGTGGAGGTGGAGGAGGTGGTGGTGTGGCGCAGGTGTAGGACACCTCCAGGTACCTGGTGTCCTCCACACACTCATATTTACTAAACACCAGCTCAGTGACGGGGACCTTACAGGACCTCTTGTTAGCACAGCTGGAGACAGACAGACAGACAGACAGACAGACAGACAGGCAGACAGACAGACAGACAGGCAGGCAGACAGGCAGACAGACAGACAGACAGACAGACAGACAGACAGACAGACAGACAGACAGGCAGACAGGCAGACAGACAGACAGACAGACAGACAGGCAGGCAGACAGACAGACAGACAGACAGACAGACAGGCAGACAGGCAGACAGACAGGCAGACAGACAGACAGACAGACAGACAGACAGACAGACAGACAGACACACACACACACAGACACACACAGACAGACAGAATGTCAATTAAATCAATGCCTGTCAGTTGCTGAGGAACTACAACATCCATGAAAACCTATAAGACCAGGTACATCATCTTATCTTTGTCAATATCCATAAAACTCACCAACGCTCTGTTCGAAAGCCAGTTTTTCATCTAATAATGTCTAAAAACTTTACTTTATTTGCTCTTTTTTTTCCTGCTGTTATTGGTGAGACCATCAACTTCTTATTTAAGTAAAAGTAGCAATACATTTATGTCAAAGTATTCTTAAGTAAAAGTACAAAAGTATTGTCAAGTATAAAAAGTACTAATTCTGCAGAAATATGGCCTCCATATTTGATATATTATTTAACATTATCAGATTATTAATATTGTTGCATAACGCAATAATATCAGGTTTAAATAAAGAATATTAGGTATAACTTATTATTATTGCTTTCAACCAACATAATGTGATATTTGTTGAAATAATACATTTCATTAAAGTCAACGGTTCAGTTTTTTCAGTGTATAATGCAACATCTTAATCTGAAAAGTCACTTAAGCTTAATAAATAATACATTAATGAATAAGTAGTGCAGTAAAAGTATTTATAGTGCTTGATTAAAGATACTTAAAGGTAGGGTAGGTAAGTTTGAGAAACCGGCTCGAGATCGCTAGAATTTGAACATACACAACCGGAGAAAATCTGCCACTTCCTTCAGACTTCCTTATAGAGCCCCTCCTCCAACACACATGAACGCGCACATGACCAATGAGGGCACGAGATGAGTTTGTGCACAGGTGGAAGGCTGACAGGCAGGTAGGCCATCCGGTTATTTTAGCCGGGCCGTCGTGCTTTTTATGGCGCATTTCCACTACACGGTCGGCCTCGGCCACACTCGGTACGGCTCGGTACGGCTTGGCCGCGTTGGGCCTTAACAGGGCCGACTCACTTCATGCTGCGCTTCCATTACAGTTTAGGAACTGGGGTAGTTACTATAGTAACGCAGTGTAGGCGGAGCCGTGACGTCATCTTCAATGAGAAATCCAGAAACACAACACAACCGTTAGCTGTTAGCACTCAGAGCTCACAGCTCCTTATATATGTTCAGAAACTCGACAAAAGTTAAACAAGTACACACCACAGACTGCCTGTGTCATGGTGAATACAGTCGCTGCTTTATTTATGTCTGTATAGGCCGTTGTTGTGAGTGTGGACGGTCGGGGCATATACTGCGTTAGCTTAGCCAATCTCCATCTAGAAAAACACGAATTTTAAAAGGTTTTTCGCCTGCCGTCTGTCTGCAGACTTGACAAAGCATTAATTCATGGTTTTTACTAACCGGTATCAGTATGTTGTTACTTCGGCATCATTTTGAAACGTGTATTACAATTAAATCACGGTCAAATATGTCCATCTTGTTGTAGTTGTAGCCCTCTTGCCAGCGCTCCTCTCTCTAGTTTAGCATACTCAGCCCGACTCAGCCCTGTTTGTTGGCCCCGATAGAACCACAATTTTCTAGGGCCAGAAAAGAGGGGAAAAAGTGGCCCCGCGCCGTGCCGCGCCGGAACGAGGCCTAGTGGAAGCACAACCAAAAAAGGGGACGGCACGACACGGCACGCTTAAAGCGAGCTACGCGCTGCAATGGAAATGCGCCATTACAGTACTACGGCTTCCACAGATGACATTTTTTTATGGATTTTTTGTCAAAGCACTTAAGATATTCATTGCTATCGGGATGTTAAGAGCATTCCATGGAATATAACAAAAAGTGTATCTCGAGCCGGTTTCTCAAACTTACCTACCCTACCTTTAATGACTTTCCACCATTGGGCCTCACCATGTTTGGCGTATAACTAGGGCTTGTGGCAAAGGGTTTTGATTTGAGGCTGCTAAAAAACTCATTGTTTAAATCAAAAACTAGATCATTTTGATTTAAAAAAAATAGAGAAATGAACATGGAATGAACAGACAAAGTCTCTGGAAGTTCTGGTTTCACCGCAGCTCGCTCTGTTTGTCCTGTAATAAGTAACTGTGGAGCTGTTCTGACCTCAAGTGGAAAAATGAATATGTGGATAAATGAGTCTTACAGATCCTCCACCACCATCTCCGACCAGGGGAAGGAGCAGTAGGTGTCCGGGCCGTCGTCTGGTTGGGCTTTTCCCTCGCCGCACCTGGTCCCCACCCCCACCTTATACAGGATGTGATCCAGCTTTATCTTAGCGCCAACATCTGCAGCAGGAGGAGGACAAAGACAATAGAGTGTCAAAAAATGATCACCATGTTCTTCATTTCCTTTCTACAAACACACACATACTTTGAAGATAGATCTTTTGGTCCCACACTTCTCTCTAGACTTCAACATATCAAACACTATTGGACTATTGTCATGACATTTTCTACAAACATTCATATTTCCAGAGTATGAATTTAAATAAGTTGTATGAATTGTTATTTGGTTACCATGAGGTCCACATTATAGAACGATAATTTTGTCGAATACATTTGTTAATGACCAAAATAAACATTTTAGCACACTGATATTAGCATTTAGCTCAAATACCACTGTGTCTCAGGAAAAGTGGAATACTTGATGTGCATTTAATGGACTTCTATCAACACAGGTCCTGCTCTGGACTCTATGGGTAATACTGTCCTCTGCTGGGAGTCTCATGACATAACAATATTTTATTTTGACAAAATCTGACCTTGTTTCTGGGACTTGAACATGATTGTTGAAGCACAAAATCCCAAATATACAAATGACATATGACTGGTTGCCAGTTCACTTACGTATTATATGCTGCTAATTATTCTCCTTTTTTTTAAGCATGGTGTGCTCATTTTTTATTTTATTACACATGTGCTTTCTTCTTTATTTAATGTGTTAGCCTACTTATTTTTATTTTTATTCATTTGGACTGTCCCTTTGCTACTGTAAATGTACCCGCCCTAGAAAAACTAGGATTCTGATCTACTGAAAAATAAATTTGCTCACCAACTGACTGACATCATTTATAACCATCAACCCTCTGGGGACAGGAAGTTTCCACAAGTTTAACTATTTAGTATCGCACATGGTCTTAAAGTGTGCAAGTGCATTTGGTGCTTGTTTAAATGGCGGATTGGAGTTGGAGAGTTGAGGGTTTGGGGGTTAAATGTTTGAAGTCCTTGGCTGGTTTACCCTCTGCCTTTTCTGCCCAGTGAACAGCGTATGAAGTATACAATTACCTAGGAGCTAATGCCTGTCCAAACTAGCTTTTATGCCCCACACAATTGTCAGTTTTATAGTAAACATTAAATATGATATACCTGTTTTGGTAAATTCTGCTTTACGGTTAAACGGTTGGTATACTATAACCTGTCAAATTGGACCTGTTTCTAAATGTTTTAATGTCGGACTAAAGGGTTATTTAAAAAATATCATGAAGGGTTTCATACTAGTGTTCCCTTTGCAAGTAAAAGTAGTGTTCACTACTTTCATTACTTTCTGTTTTTATTTGATAGCGTCTTGTGCCATTGAAGATTTAAAATGGTTTCTAACTGAATCCTGACTAAGCTGTGCCATATCCAGTCATGCTGTGCTCCTGTGATCTTAACTGAGGTTATAATAACTCAAACTGTTGCCTTTTTTAACAAAAGAATAAGGCTTAATTTTGTGTTAATGAGGTTTCTTGATCATAAGATAACAGATTAGTAACACTTTTGGTAATGAGTTGAATGAGTTAGAAACAGTCATAATGTTTAGTCATAGTAACAATAAAGTGTAACATGACTGAATAACTCTCTTCCCATAAGACGAGAGTGTGTTGAAGGGTGTTCCTGTGTTTCTTACCACATGAAATCTCTGCGGTTTCATTGAGACAGGCGTAGATGACTTCTCCCTCTGTCAAAACACAACCAGATCACAAATCATCATCATCGTCGTGCTTTCTGCCCCTTGTGTTAGTCTTTTTTTGTAATTACAATCAAATATCTCCAGTAAAATGATCAGAGATGTTTAGTTTTTTAGATTTTAAATATCTGTATGTATTCATTTGTTATGAAACTGTAAAAAAGTTATGCAAGTTATTAGTTTGACACCTTCTTTTCTATACAAATGCTGTCAAAAGACATGACTATGAATTTTTCTTTTGAATCCAGTTTAATGTTTCATTGAAAGACTTACCAGCAGCACGAGTGAAATACCAAGCAGTAGCTAGCACTGAAAACACAACACGAGTTTATTTAGGTACAACACACTTTTTTTAACTGTAATTCAGAACATGCATTTAAATGCATCATAAAACAGTTTGATATACATTTATGTTAAAACTTTTTTGCATTTGTGACCTATTGATGTCAAAATGAAATCTGAAAAATGACAGCAGTCTTGAATTGGGGTGGATATACGAGCTGTTATTAAGCTCTGAATGTATTTTAATTTATTTCAACATACATGTAGAGAATCCTGAAGAAAATGGCAAATCAAATTGCATGCAAAAAATAATTTTGTGTCCACAATTCGTGTTAATGCATCATGCTGTTGGACAACATTATTCAGTCAAATAAATATTTATTATACATGTATAATGAACTAACTATGTTTTCTAAGCTTGAAAACCCAAATGATTCCAAATATATACACACATATGTACATATACTGCATTGTATGTATATGAGAAACATAATTAGAGAGAATAAAGAAATACAAATAGGGATGCTGCATATTTGACTAAAGTAGAGTGGGTACTCACATCCGAAGGCGACCAGCCTCAGTGGGACCATGTTAGCGTCTCTCAGCCTCTCTCCTGTCTTCCACCTGCAGACGGTCTGAAAGTGAGAGCAGGATCTGGACGTCCAGGTATTTATGTGTCCGTCCTGACAGCAGACATGCAGACGCCTGCCCCGCCGCTGCAGGCACGCAGGGCCTCCTGACCCAGATGTGATGCGCATGGAAAACCCTGCGGAGCTGCAGGAGAGACATCTATAAATCCACAGGCTCCAGGACCTTTAACACTTTAGATCCCAGCTGCACCTCATTCTCCTGCATGTTCCTCATTAGGAAGCTCAGAGCTTAAAAGAAAAACATCTGGATCTGTTAACCTGGGGATGGAAACTGTGCAAGCTAACAGGCACAAATGTACAAAGTGTGCATGTTTTGAGCACCCTATGACCCTTTTTATACTAGAACATATACAAGGTGTACATAGGGGGCTTTAATCTTTCCTAGAAAACAGACTACAGGGCACAAACACTGACTCCTTTTACCAAAAAACAACTGAGTGTTATTGAGCTACATGTCACAGAAGCCCAAATGATGAAGGTGGGGAACATGCCAGCCAATCAGAGCTTTGTAGGCAGGATATGAAATGAAGACAGCATCGTCTTTTAGTAGAAAAATAAGGACATCATGTGGGGACGAGTATGGACATGATGCTTGCAGCTGTACAGGATGTTGTTAGTCAAGTCACAGAAATAACAACTCTTGAATCAACAAGCACACTTGGAGAGTAACGGACACACAAAAAACACATTTAAACACATTTGTTCTTTTTTAATTCAGCAGGTGAACCTATATGTTCATAAAATAGTGTGTGTATTAAACTAAAACGGAGCATTTTCTGTCAGCTCAGATTTTATTTCTGCTTTTTTAAACTGTAGTATGTGCTCATGTGTTTCATTGTTGGTGTATAGCTGCTGCCTGAATATGCTGAATGAAAGGCAAGTTTTACTATCAATAAAATCCTTGCTGATCTTAAATATCTTGATTTCTTCTTTTCTAAGGTCACATTGTTCGGTTGTCTTACATAATACACTTAAATATTGATATTTCTCCTCTCTTGTATTTATTTGCATTGCATTTCTTTGACGTAGACTGACATTTATATTTTTCTTTGTTGATTAATCTGGTAATTAAATGTCTGGTCTGTGATTAATGTCAACCAATTAATCCTCTATCCGGCGATCTGTGTTGGAAAGTGACAATTATGATGGCTGCCAGGGGCCAACGCGCTAAAACGGCCTGAAGCACTTACATTCGTAGGAACACGCTGCACTTTCAAAAACGATATAAGTACAAAACACAAATGTGACAAAACACACACACCAACTTCACAACACATGGGCAGCATTTAGAAAACTTTGCATTTTGAGTAAATCATGCGCAGGTTTTACTAAAAGTGCTGCATAAATGAACCGTTGTGATTATGAAATGTTTCTTCTTTTGCACGTGTTTTGGCACGTTTGTGTTTTTATATCTGCAGCGTTTTTGAAGCTGCAGCACGTTTCTCCTAACGGAAGTGTTTTGGTCCGTTGTAACCCACTGTGAACAATTATTTTAGATCCACAAATTATTTAAAATGAAATAATTATCTAGTTAATATTATGTTACTCCAATGGTGGCCTGTATATTATGTATGACAGTAGTATAACTTGTATTTAAAACACTGTAAAGTACTATTATCCTTTTATTTATAAGCAGGAAACCTATGACTTTGTGTATGATTTGACTCTTTTAATGTGGAGATGGTTATGCTTTTTATATTAACACCTAAATTACATACATGGTGATACATGTGGATTGTTATTCTCCAATTTAAGTCTGATAATCTTATAAAAAAATGATGTGTCACAACAGTCTTATGAATTACAGGACATTGGCATTATGTGGCTATGAAGTGCATTGCATTATTCATTATTTCAAAATGAGGAAAAGGAAATAATCTACACTTTCTACTTAGAATTCAGAATTAACTGGGGATTTTACAACCATGCACAGTAAAGACATTGATATATTTTTGGGAAAAAACTCCAAATGCTCAAAGATAATTACTGCTCAGGCCCACCAAGACACCAACCACTCTGAAGATGTCCCCACAGGCATCAGCAGCTTCCTGAAGGAGTCCAGGTGGCAGCCTCAGGCTCAGAAATACCAGAATCCTCAGCAGCTCGGGATCAGGAGGCCAAGGTCATTATCCATCATACCTGACACCAGCTCTCTAACTCACACGCAGGTCTGAGGCCTTAAAGTTCCCATATCATGGCCATTTCTACTGATCATAATTCCATTGTTGAGGTATACTAAAATAGATTTACATTGTGCAATTTTCCAAACTCACATTGGTTTCTCATACAGCATCTCTGTATAGTATGTGTATTCAGTCTCTGTCCTAAACGGCTTGTTGGAGCTGCTCCCAGTCCCTCCACACTCACAACAACTTCATACAGACATAAATAAAGCAGCTGTATTCGCCATACAGGAAACACACATTTAAAACGGTTTTGTCTGCCGTTTTTGTGTACACAAGCATTCCTTAATGGTTCGGAAAGTGGCACTGTACCTTAATAATATAAAGGCTTGGATTTGCGTGCATTTCCTGCTCGGAAAGTGGCAATGTGCTGAGAGTGGAAGTGTCCTGAGATTAGCGCCTGCAGGCAGGCTCCATGGACCTGTCAGCTCCGGACAGCGCAAAATGCGTACATGAAGTGCTACGTCATGAACGCAAGAAATCTACCCTCGTGGGGACGCGCTCATGTGATTGGCTTAGAATTGAGGAGACATCTGATTGGCTATAGATAGAAAAAATTACAAATACGAATCGGGTGACCGTCAGGGGAGTCTCAAAAAACCCACACACGAATGCACAGCGATCCATGCACAGAAAGCGGTTTGTGTTTGTAGGTTCAGGGGATTTAAACGGAAAACAAATATGTGAGGATAAAAAATACATATGTAAAACTTTTTTCTGTATTTGGATTTTATTTACATGTATATGAAACGGAACACATTTGTGTGTGCATTGAAAAACACAAGTGTGGATCCGGAAATACAAGTGTGAATCCTTTTGCGGATCATGAAATACAAGTGTGAATCCTTATGTGTGCATGTGTGTATTATGAGACTGTTCTGAGCCCATATATGAGCCCAGTGGCCGTCTGCGAGACAGCAAGAGACAGCGATACCCAGCCCGAAACCAGCCCGAACACACACACACACACCCGCAGCCTGGCTGGGAGTTTGTGTGTGTGCTCACACACCGACTCACAGCCTCGCCGCGTCCCGCCGTCTCAGGGAGGAGAAATCGGCGGAGCTGCAGCTGAGAAAAGCTTGAGGCCCAGGCTCCACGGGAACGCATACGGCAAAACGCATAGGATTAACGCAAACGCAATCGCCAAAAAGCTTCCGCCCACACGCAATATACACCGGATAGTGTCTGCTCACATGAGACAGCTCCGTTTAGATCCAACCGCTGGAAAAGCTGCAGTACATATGCCGAGCCTGTACGTGGCGCTGTAACTTCCTCCACAAAAGCAGCAACTTCCTCCACAAAAGCAGCGAAGAAGAATGGTTGTCATGGCTGCACTTCTGTTTATTCTCCGCGGTGTGGGCCGAGGGAACGGCGCAGAGTTTTTTGCCGGTCAACGTGTGTTAAAGTTTAAATCTTCATACTTCCTCATGCAGCAGCTGATCCAGTAAGTAAACCCGACAGTCAAAATAAACATATTTATAACTAGTTTAGGTAGTTTGAGAGGTAATTAAAATAGCTAAGGGTGATGATCTGACTTGAAGTGTGTGTTTTGCTCCCGCTGCATCACAGCGGGAGGAGCTGCGTGTCTCCGTCCTGTCAGATTAGATTTCACTCGCGTTTATGTCCATATCGAGATAAAGATAAATAATCTGAATTCAGTGTGCAGTGCACTTTTGCGGGGGTGAGCAGCAGAGGTGGGGAGAGGCAGGGCTATTGCGTCGTCATTATCAGAAACGGATGACCGTATAGGCTACCACACGGCCCCGTTGGACCCCCCAGAGCGCTCCGTTCCCAGATCTATCCACCTTTGGACCCGTTGTCGTTTGCAGGGTCCGTTTCTACCGTTCCGTTACGGCGTCATGTAGCTTAAAGGGCTATACGCAAGAGAAATATGCGGATACAACCCGTTTTCGTTCCCGTGGAGCCTAGGCCTGAGTGTGTGTGTTTGTGAGGAAGTCCGCGGATTGGTCCATTTGGACCAATCCACGGACTTAACCTAACGGCTCCGCGGACGTAACGTAATGGCTCCACGGATTGGTCCATTTGGACCAATGGGTTAATTTGGGTATGGGCACGTCACTGTACCCAGGAAGAAAACAATGGAAAAAGAGAAATCTCCAACGAGGCGTTCTGGGGCAGCATAGACAGGTATTTTCTGTGTTAGAGTTTTACTCGCTAGGATGTACTTTGAGGGTTTGTGACTTTGCAGACCGTTTACATGCAGAAAAACCTTCATAACACACGGGACGGGTAATAACCGGAAAAGCATGACATGGGACCTTTAATGGTCCATGTGGAGGTCTGACATTTAAGTTATTTTCTTACTTATCTCACTTAATTTCTTATTTTTGTATTTTATTTTATTAATTTCATCTTATGTCTGCACATTTTTACTGTAACTTATTTTGTTTATCTAAATATAAGTATTCCATTTTATTTTATCTTTGTATTTTTATTTGATTATAAATGGAGCAACTATTATGCAACTTAATTCCCCCCTGCAGATAAAAACAGTATTCTGAATCTGTTTATGGGTTTGCCCATTATTGTAGTTGTTCAGTTATTGGTGATCTTGTATTTTTTAATACTATTTATTTATTTATGTTTATATTCAGTCAAATGTTAAAATAAATAGCTGATGGAATTGTATGTTATTATGAACAACCTTTAGAACATTATCAATGGTGTGGATAAAGATCTGCTCTTGTTCCAGCACCATATAATAAATTTGACCTCTGACCTGCAGTCTGAGTCTGTTCAGGATCTCTGAGATGTTTGTCCTTCGTCACGTAAGCGGCTTATGGCCTGCTTGGCCTTCA